CAGAGGTGTTGGCGACACGGTACAACGGATATGGAAGCAAAGGGGAGATTAGGAGGATGCGAGGGACGGGTGAAAGATTGGGTGAAAGGAGAAACCGGCGGAGAGGCGGGAGCAGGGGTCAAGAAAAGACACTCCTTCTGTTTTTGCCCCCCGGGCCTCTCCTCCTGCTCTCTCTCTCTATGCAATCCCTCCGCCTGACGCACATCTTACAAGACTATGGCGACTAATGGAACGAAACAGAGCACAAGTACGAACATACCAACTCATCAAATGGAATAGAACGCAAGGACAAACTCGCTGCAACTTGTCCGAGTAATAAACTGCCGTGTGAGCATTAGCTAAATAAGCTGCAGTATGAACATTAACTGAACCCACAAAAAAGCAAGAATGAGATACCCCCACAAAACGCAGGCCTCCACAATGTCGTTCTCTATATGTCTACATGTATAATCTACCTGTCTATCCATCTGTACATATATATATATACACACATTTTAATATCTTTATATGTCTTTACATTTCTATATATATATATATATATATATATATATATATGTGTGTGTGTGTATATATATATGTATAATATATATATGTATATATATATATATATATATATATATGCATATATATATATATATATGTGTGTATATTCATACATATATACATATATACATATATATATATATACACTTATACATACATATATACCCACATATCTTTATCTATCTATCTGTCATAGCCCCTTGACAGCTGTCGGAGGCTCCAGGATCCAGCGCTCCAGCGCAAGGCGCTGCGCCTCTTCCAAAAGGCCGAAGCCCCCGGCGAGGGGTTTAGGGTTTAGGGGTTTAGGGGTTTAGGGGTTTAGGGGTTTAGGGAAAACATGACTTTTTCATAGTTGGGTAACATTTTACATTTTTATGGGTACTTAAACCCAATAGGAGATGAGAAGACACCAAAAGAAGGTTTAGGGTCCTTTAGGGTTTAGGGTTTAAGATTGAGGATCCCGGGAGAGAACATGAGAAGACATCAAAAGAAGGTTTAGAGTCCTTTAGGGTTTAGGGTTTAGGGTTTAGGCTATTGTAAGGAGAATTTAACGTTTCTGTGAAGGGTCTCGGATTCTAAGAGAGTTTAGATTTTCGGGATTATTTTCTAGGTTTCGGATTCTAAGAAGGTTTCTTAGTTTGGGGTTGTGGTACGGTTTCTTAGGGTTTCATGTGGGTTCAGGGTCCAGGGTTCATACGGGTTTAGTATCTAAGGTTTTGGGTTCTGTGAGGGCTGCTACGAAGGAGTTACTGCCAGGGTTACCATAACGGTTTCTGCAAGGGCCAGAAGTGGATGTGGGTTCCCAAAAAAGGTGACGAAGGCTTTTCGGCTTTAGGGATTTACGGGTCCCTGGGCGTTAGGGGCTTAATGGCAAAAGCTTTTTTGGGATTCAGGCCGTTTTACGGCTTAGGGTTGGCTTCGGTTTTAGGTGCGAAGGGTTTGAGAGTTTAGGCATTTGGGCTGGGAAGAGCAATGTTGAGGGTTATAGTGCGTGACAACAGTAATAGCGTTTGGAGAAAGAAGCAGAACACTAACACCAAAATGAGCGTGTATCATACTGGCATATACTGGTACTGTTTGCAGCCGTAGTAAAATGATACATAATAACGATCACAGCTGATAGAGAAAATAACAATAAGAATAGTAATAACTAAGTAATAGCGGTAGTACCAGTAACAGCAACAAACATTACCGTCCCTGCCTCGCATGGGGGTGCTACTAATCGCAGAAATGCCAGAAGCATAGACAATCACTAACAGCAGTATGACTACGCAACGTCGACCAACAGCACCAGTGATCCTCATTCTGTTTTGTGTTGGCAGCTATTGCGCTATTGAGTGACAGAAAGAACCCTGCCACAACACAAGCCGGTGAATTTTGCGAACACAAAGCTGGCATCGCGGTGGTCTCGGAGAGTATGCCGATACGAATCAGAGCGCGAGGAGTTACACGGCACTTAAGTAACGCGCTTGGAACACTTCAATACCCTTATAGCTACCCTTTGGGCGTTTTTTTCTGTGCGACAACCCTCCGGCAACCCCGCCGCCGCCCGCCCCTTGCCCCCACTTCTCTCCCTGCAGCCAGGCTGGCGGATGTTGCTTTCTCCAGGCTAACTTAAATCATTCGGTGGTGCCAGAGCATTTCTGGGATAAAGACGAAAGCCTAGCTGTGCTAGCTTTCGTGAAAACACTCTGAAGCAACTGCTCTGATTTGCTCAAGACCTCATCTGTGTGAAACGACCTGTTGCTTTCCGAAAACACTCCGAAAGAAACATTATAGAATCCTTCAGTGACCCGTATAGAACCCTCAACAGAAACCTTGTAGAACCCTTACGGACCCTTGTAGAAGCCTGAAAGAACCCTTACTAAAGCCGTTATAGAAGCCTTAAAGAGCCCTCAAAGGGATCGCGTCGGTGGCCTGCGAAAATCGCTCGGCGAGATGCCTCCGGCGCTCCGGGCGCAGCCTCCAAGACGAAACAGGTTTGCACTTTTGGCAACAAGGCTTCCTCAAGGGCGTCCTTAAAGGCTTCCTTTAAAGCTTCCTTCTTGGGTTCCTCAAAGGGTGTCCTTACAGGGCTCCTTAAGGGCTCCCCGAAGAAGACTACGGCTTTTCGGATCATGGGACTTCGTAACAAGTTGTGCATAAGGAAAGCAACTAAACGTATGATTGCGTAGAACTTCCAAGTAGACGCCGCAAACCAAAATTTTGGTTTTAGGGGGGTCTTCGGGCTTGGGGTTTGGGGTTTGCGGTTTGCCGTGTACGGTTGATAATATATATCCTGCATTACCCATGAAAAGAAATATACCATAATTCCCATAGTTTAGGGTCCTTAAGGTAATGCAGGATTTATATGGGTGGTTGTCAAAAGTATGGCCCCTTTTTGGGCACCCTAAATAATAGGTGCCGTACTATCATCGGGACCCAAAAAGGGACCCTAATTTTGGCAAACACCCATATCATCAACCGTAGGAACCCCAATCGCAGAAACCAGGCTCTTCCTGGTGTAACTCGTGAACCTTTCTTGGAGGATCGGAGGACTTGGTAAGTACGGCCCGGTTATAAGTACCCTAATCGGGGTTGTAAGTAGTTATAGCTATAGTTACCCTATTCGTAACCCTAATTACTAAGTCCCATGATCCTGGAAGTTATCGAAGCAGAGACAGGTTCACTAGGGGCCTCAATAATTAGAGTAGGGTTTGGGGGTATACTGTACTATAGTTACTATAGTTATAATAAGGAACCCCCAAAAACCCTCTTCTAATTCTTAAGGCCCCTACATTTCGAACGCAATACTTTGCGACTCCTAAATAAATTGGGGAAGAACTATTTTCCCCCAATATCTTTCATGCCGTCTTCCCAATCGCCCCGCATCCTGCCTGCGGAGCAGCCGGTAGAGCTGCGCCTCTGGGCACTGGGTCCTCTTCTCCCGGGTCTTTGGGGCCATTCTGGGTCGCTTACGTGGTCCCTCAAGTGCTGGGACCATCTGAAGGGGCTGGGCCTGGAGGTGCATTCCTTCAGGGCCCATCTGGGGCTTGGGTTCGAGCAGTAGACCTGCTCTGGGCATTTTGCCTCCCCACTACCTCCCGCCAGCGTTTACTGGGGAGGAGGGGGAGGCGAGCGGGGGGGAAAGGGGCAGGGAGGGAGGATGTAGCAGTGGCGGCGCACATCACACTGATTTGCATTCCCTTCGGCGAGCACGCGCAAGCTGGAGGAGGACATGGTGACGGCAATCATGGCTTTCTACCGGGAGATCAGCCTGAGGCTGACTAACTGAGCAGAGAGATGATACCAGACGGCTGCGGCAAGGCATCAAGGATCTGGCCATCCCCTTTGAGAACTCATACAATGTCCTGAAAATAAATCAACTCACAGCTCTGCTGTACCTTGCACCAGAAGTGGCCCCCGTCGCTTCAACTGGATCCCGCCTGTCCCTCCTCCCTGCCTCTCTAATATTATGGGCCTTCATACTTGGGGCCCATTATACAATAATTGTAGTAAGGAACCCTCAATATAGTATTGTGCATATTGGTAATTATTTTGAGCCCCTTTCGTACCTCTGCCTCTCGGCCTTTCGGCCCCCTCTGCCTCGCTCATCCCCTCTCTCTGTGTCATGCAACAAGTTAGGCGTACAGAGCACTCCTCGAATGCACCAAGCACCGTTGGATCCCCCCCCCCCCCGACAGTTTGGCTCTAGAGTTTCTTGGAGTTTATTCAGGTTTCAGGCTTCAGGACTTAGGGCTTCGGCTCCAGAGTTTGGGATCTCGGTTGGGTTTCAGCGTCATTCGGTTTGGGGGTGTAGGCTTCATGACGCACTCCAGCTGTGCACAGCCTAGAAATCTTCACCAGACAAGCACACGCCTTGTAATGTCCTTCGGCTTTCAGCCAAGGCCTTAGGGGGTTCAAGGCACTAAACCTGTATGAGGCTTTAGAACTGCTCAGTGTTTCAAGAACAAACCGTAGGCTTCGCTTCAACACGCCGTGGACAACTCATCGAGCACAGCAACATCGAAAATAGCCCTAAACCCCAAACACCTAAACCCCTAAACCCCTAAACCCATAAACCCCTAAATCCCTAAACCCCAAACCCTAAACGCCAAACCGGAATGGCGTCTTGAGCAAGCGAAGAGCCGATATGATCTTTAAAACCCCCTCAAACCCTGAGCCCTACACGCCAAACCTTAAACTAACCCCCCAAAAATTCGGTGAAACCCCTGCAAGCTCCTATGGTTTAGGGACTTAAGAAACCCTTGAGAAGTTCCTATGGTTTCAGAGATGAAACTTTTACGAGAAGTTCCGAGGTTTTTTTGGAACCCCCTTGTATAGGGTCCTGAATAATCAGTATAGGGTTTTGGGGGCCCATTTTACTACAAATCGAATAAGGAACCCCCAAACTAGTCTTGGCAAATTATTTGGGCCCCCTTTGTTATGCCGAGTCCACCTCTCAGAGCCCTCAGCTCCTCCTCCTCAGCCCGCAACACGGCCTCCTCGGTGAAGAGAGCGCCCTCCGCATCGACGCCGGGGTTTAGGGGTCTAGGGTTTGGGGATTAGGGTTTGGGGGTTTAGGATTTAGAGGTTTAGGGATTTAAGGTTTAGGGGTTTGGGGGGGAGGAGTTCTCAAACCTAAGGGCTTTGATACGGGCCTTATGAGGAGTTTATATGGGTGTTGTAGGGTTTCCTAAACTAGGGGCTTTCATAAGGATCTGTTGATATGATTTTTACTATAACCTCTACAGCACCAGCCCCGAGGTTTTTACATGGATGTTATGGGAGTTTCCGAAAATTAGGGGTACCGTATTTTGGGGTCCTTATAATAAGGATCTTACTATTTGGGGTCCTATATTAGGGTCCCCTATTTTCGGAAACTCCCTTATAGGGTTTCAGAAACTAGGGGCTTTCCTACGGGGGCAATCTTACGAAGGTTTGACAAGGGTGTTCTACGGGCGTTGGAAGCAGGGTGTCCTGAAACTAGGGGTGTTTTGTAGGGGCCTTTACCTTCAAGAATCTCCTCGTACTATTCAGGGTTTAGTGTTTAGGATGCATTGATTAGGCTTCTGCAATATTGGTCTGGTTTGGGTTTAGCATCTACGGTTGGGGGAAAGGTTCGACGTTCCGCGTTCAAGGGTTTCAGGCATACGGGATTCATATAGGAGCCCAAGTAGTCAGAATAGGGTTGCTTAGGATCCCTTATTGTACCTATAGTACAATACACACTAAAGGAACCTGTTCTAGCAACGAGGACCCTCGAACATAGTCCCAGATAAGGGTCTGGCATCTCGGTCTTGTTTCCAGCACCCGAGTGGGTGCGGTTCCTCTAGAAAGTGGTGGCGTCAATAACTAAAATAGTCTGTGAGTATCTTCAAGTGTACTTTTCCCGAACGGATCAGTGGGGACCTCTCTTCCGAGCTCCATATTTATGCGGGGACTGAAGTTGGCGACAGGGGCTGTCCTTCTCGGTGATCTAAGACGGTTGACAACCAGTACGAGCCATAGCGTCGTAGGAGTAGCAACAACACCCCGACAACGACCACGACATCGACGACGCCCAATGCCAGACCATCACCACGACCACCCAGCACCCACCACCATCGCCGCCATGCTAAACTCCGAACCATGAACCTTGAAACCCGTATAGAGGCCATACCGTCAACTCCAAACCAAACACCCTAATCCCGTACAACACCCGAGAAAGCCCTTGAAAAAGTCCTATGCTGAAGAAGTTACACAATCCCTCACTAAAACCTTTGAAAGCTCCACCAAATCCTGAGCATCCTGAACCGTAAGCCCTCAGCCAACTGATGGACCTCCCAAAGAAGCTGAGCCCCTGAGCGCCGGGCAGACGCGGACCTTTGCGTCCAATCAGGGGGTTTGCAGAAAACTTCAGCGTTTTGAGATTCGAGGTGTAGAGGCCTTAACAATTACAAGATGGTTTGCAGGGGTATCATACTTTAGTTCTAGTACGGAACCCCCAAAACCCTATGAGGGTATAGGGTTCCTATCACTCCTGAATCCCGAATACCGAGTTGCTCAGTTCCCTGGCCCAGGAAAGGATAACTGTTTGTGGGATGACATATAGTAGAAGCCCCAAGTTTGGAAATCCAATAGCCTCAATCCTTAAGAGCTAATTGTCCTTAATCTGGTTTCCAACCTTTGTGGGGCCTACTGTAAACCCCACAAAGACAAAGGTCGCCTACATGGGTGGTTGTCAAAATTAGGGTTCCGTTTTGGGTCCTTATTATAATACGGCACCTATTACTTAGGGTATCCAAGAAGGGACCCTAATTTTGACAACTACCCACATGAAAGCAGTGAAGTGGCGCTCTGCTTCCTCGCAGCCGTGAGCTTCGCAGGTCCTGCCATCGTCTTTGGGCCATCGTCTTCGGGCGTGAAGCTTGTCACGTAGGGGCCTTAATAATTGGAATAGGGTTTGGGGAGGCTCCTTGTTATGAGTATAGTACACAAGCCCTATTTCCTACTATTAGGGCCCCTATAGTAGATTTAGGTTTCAGGCTTAAGATTTTAGTCTGCAGGGATTCCGGCTTCTATAAGGGTAGGAAAGTTCAGGGCCTAGGGTTTATGATTTAGGAAATTTAGGGCCTTTTCCGGATGCTACTTTTTATCAGCAGTTTGGGCTACGTCCTGGACCAGGGTGCGAGGGTGGGCTGCACAGGCGACAAAACGTCGTCTGATGGATTTCACAGCCAAAGTTTACCATAGTTCGGGATAGGGTTTTGGGGCAAACGTAGACTTTGAGCGGATACCATGACTCTACATTGCTTCGACAAGCAGTAAATTCAGAGGCTAGAACCCGCTGGGCACCTGCAGCCGCGCAGGTGCCGGTTGCGACACCTCCGCTGACAGCCTGGCCGAGTCTCATAGACTTTTAAGGTTTCGGGTTTGGGGTTTGTCCTTCGTCGCCTTCCTTGCAGGCATATAATATATATATATATATATATATATATAATATATATATATATATAATATATATATATATATATGTATATATATATATATATATGTATATAGATACGGATACGGCTCCCTCTGAATTAGGGTGCCTAGCCCCTTGCAAGCGAATGCAGTAAATTCATCTTTACCCACCTAGGAGACTATAGTCATACTGCTGATGGACAAAATCCTGCATGCTAAGGACTCTAAACTATGGGAACTATGGTATATTCCTTATAATGGGTAATGCAGGACTTTGTCCATCAACAGTAAGGGTCTCTCTAAGCCACGGCCCGGCCCTTGTCAGACGAGCGACCTGCTCGATTGGAGCCGAAGATTAGCTCCCCACTCCCAGCTACTTGGAGGATCAGGGGACTTAGTAACCAAGGTAAAAAGTACCCTACTTAAGATTATTCATGAAACATAACAGTGTTTACCTTATTGAGAACCCTAATTGCTATGTCCCATGATCCTCCAAGTACTACTTCCCTGTACCACCAGATGTTCGACCGAAGAAACACACAGAGCCTCGGAGCCCGAAAACTCCCCAACACTGCAACAGCTTCTTGAAGGGTCCAGGAGGTCGGGATTTTGGAGTGCCAAGGTTCAGAGTTTAGGGTTCAGGGGTTTTAGGGTTTAGGGATTAGGGTTTGGGGGTTCAGGGTTTTGTGGTTTTCGGATCTAGACAGTACTTTCACCTTTGCACCTACCTGGAACTTAATCCTTGATCTCCTCAACCCTGCGCCCAGGAACCTGAACCGTTTCTAAAAGCAGGTCCAGACACTAGGTTTGGTACAGAATCTGAACCCAATGAAACCCTACGAAACTCCGACAGAGCATTTATCGAACCCTGCAGCAAAAAAAGCAACCTATAAAGCCTCCACAAACTCCTGCAAGCCCTTTTCGAACCCTTCTCAACAACCCTCTAAACGCCCGTACTGAAGCCCTACCAATCCCCAATCAAGCTCAAGAAGTGTGTAACCCCTACACAACCGACCAAGAGCACTTGAAAACCGCAAACGGTTCAGGATGCACCTTGCTGCTTCGTGGCGGGACTCAGCAAGCCTCGTGGGTGATCGTTTCTCGGCGCTGTGCTCTGGGGGAGCCCTTGAAAAATGGGAGCCTGAGTGCCTAGACTCGGATTCCTGTACCGGTTCAGGGAGAGGCTTCCGGGTGGCGTATTTATCATGCAGCTGAAGATTAAGGGAATAGCAGTACCAGCCAGTAAGACCCCTTCACTTCTTGTGGCCCTCGCAGGGAAGTATTAGGAAGTCCATCATGCCCTTCAGCCATTATGGAACCCCTATGGAACCCTTACACTATCCCTCATCCTTGCAGCACCGCGTATCCTTCCAGGTATGGTAGCTTTCATGACACCCACAGGAGCAGCCCGACTCGTCGTTGCGTTCAGCCCTGTCAAGCCCCTGCTCAGCATAGGGTTTAGGGTTTAGGGGTTAGGGTGTAGGGATTAGGGTTTAGGTTCGCTTTAGGGAGTAGGGTTTAGGGTTTAGGGATTAGGGGTTAGGGTTTAGTTATGGTTTAGGGCTTTATGATGATCCTCTAGAGGCCCCAAACCCAAATCCCAACACCCCAAACCTCGAACCCGAAGACCTCAAACCCCCTATACCTCCAACCCTGAACCCTCACGCCGCAAACCTCAACATTAGAACCCGAAGCCCCTGGCAACAGACGTCTCAATCACCCGAGGAAGAAGCCGATCTTCAGTGTAGGAGAGGGCCTCTGCTAAGGCAGGTCCGAGGCTTTTGAGCGCTTCAAGAAGGGGTTCAGCTGTTTGGCTGTTTAAGGGGGTTTGGGGGTTTGCAGGTTTGGGGGTTTGGCGGTTTGGGGTCGAGGAGACAGGCGTTCTAGGGCTTTAAGGGTTTGAGGTGGTTCCTGATGCACCGGGTTCGGCCCAGAGGGCGTAGCGTTTAGGACCAGGCGCCGGACAGAGGGCTGATACCGGGACGACTAGACATGTGCAGAATTGTTGTTTGCCTGAACGCCACACAACCTACCTTGTTCGGGTTCCTGATGATAGTTTCCTTATATGATGCCTTGAAAGCGTAGGCTTGTAGGGCTTGGAGTTTGGGCTTCAGACTTTGGGCGTAACGGTTTTGGGTTTAGGAATTATAGTTCATTGGCTTGGGGTTTGCGACTTGTGCTTTCAAGGAACCGACCCCCAAGGCGCAACATGTCATCCTGGCCTACCTTTTCCCTTTCATGCCGATCCCCCGATCCTCTCAGTACATCCCTAAAGCCCCTTGAAGCCCAGCGCCTGTAAATGCCACGCCAAAAGCAGCCCCTCTTAGGACCCTGGGCGACCCCTCGCTGGGTCGCCGGGCATTCAAGGTCCTGAAGGCAGTCGGGTGCTTGAAACTTCATCTCGGATTGCCAGATCATCTGGAGATCCCTTGCCTATGGAAGATCCTTACAATAAGGGTCCTATGGATGGATCTCGAGACTTAGGAAGTGGGTTAAATACTCCTATGAAAGTGCAACCAAGCATAAAGCCTGGGGTTTGGGGCTCGGGGCGATCCTTCCTGACAGCCCCGAAACCCCAACCCAAACCCTAATCCTCAAAGTCTCACAGCCTCAAGACCTGAACCCCGTTACTCCAATATCCCTGAATTCAAGAATATCCCTTAAACCACAGAAGGGATCCTACTATAGTTTAAGGTCTATTTCTTAGTTAAGGGATATTGGACCCGAACCCAGAAATCAGAGCCTCGCTTCCGCCGAGCGCTCGTGTCTGGCACTGTGCACCTCCACGCACTGGCAAGGAGCTACAAGGATTCTTGCGGGGGGTGCCAAGCCTGTTGAGAGTTCTCAGTTTAGGGTTTCAGGGATTAGGGTTTAGGGTTTCGACCCAGCAGGGTCTAGGGCAAATTTTTCGTAGCCCCGCCGTGTAACACCACAACCCTCTGCACCCGGACCCCGTAATCCGAAAGCCTTGTCGCAAGGCCTCGAGACGACGCCTTAGTCTTTGCTCGACCACCTGAACCTGCAAGCGGGCCCCAAGAACCTCGAAAGCCAAAAGAACAAACTAAACATATTGGGGAAAAAAATTTCCCCAATATGTTTAGAGCCAAAAAAACAAACCCATAAGGATCCGAGGCCCCTTTAAAGCTCCCTCCAATGCACCTGAACTCAAGAACGAGATCCCAGAATCTCGGAATCATCAAGAGACATGATGCACTCATGTCAACCCCTGAGAGCCAAATGCCCCCTTGAGGGTTATATATATATATATATATATATACATATTCATATTCATATGTATATATATATATATACATATATACGTATATCTAACATGCTACAGGGCTTGTTATTGTGATTCAAAATATGTTCCTTAATTCTGGAAGACAGCTTAAATCCTATACAGGCTTCGCATCCTGATTTAAGACATGTTCCCTGATAAGCCCTACACCCTAAACCCTACTGCAGGGGCCTTAACAATTCGAATAGGTTTTGTGTTCTTTGCTGGGTGGTTCTTATTATATTTATAGTATAGCGTATACCCCCAAACCTTCTTCTAATTATTAAGGCCCCTCAATTACAACCCTAAACCCTAAGCCCTGCACCCTATCGGGCTCTCCAGAGTGCAGAGCACCTCATCGACGAGTCGGTCACAGGAGGCCGTTAGCTGCCAAAGCCTCCAACATGGGCCATGGAGAGCTTTAGGGTTTAGGATTTAGGGTTTTAGGGTTTCGGGTTCAGGGTTAAGGGTTTAGGGTTTAAGGTTTAGGGTTTAGGGTTTAGGGTCTGTTTTTTTGTAAGGGTTGGGGGAGGCGGGGGCGTTAGGGTTTCGGGTTTTCAGGGTTTAGGGCTTGGAGTTTAGCGTTTGGGGATTTGGGTTGATTGAGGTTGCAAGTAGAGTAGAACGGCCTAAACAGATGGTGTACGGCGTGTACGGTTTTCAGGCTTCAGGGATTTGGTTCTCGACCCTTATGTTCTACTCTTGCTGGTGGCGAAGCAACACGATCAGAAATGAGGAGGCTGCTGTGCTACCATGGAGTTTTAGAAAACAGGGGGACCCTGATACAGACCCCAAGGATCCTTCTTGCAGAGGCCGCAAAATCAGGTATCCGCACTCTGAGGGTCGGGGAACTCAATGAGTTCTGGAGCCTAAGACCCTGCTAAACCGACCAGCAAAACCCATTCTAAAACCCATGCTAGACTCTTAAACATTTAGGAATCTCTACAGTATGAATCACTCAGTACGCAGACGTCAAAGCTCGCAAAATCGCCCCGGCCTCTGTTTCAGCATTGCCTCCTCCGGGTCTTCCTGCCATCTCGAGCTTAAGGCAGCTGAAGGCTTATATAGCGGCCTCACTAATTGGAATAGGGTATCGGGGTATTATACTATAAGTACAATAAGGAACCCCAAAATAGTATAGGTAATTATTAAGGCCCTTTCAGGGCTTCACTAAACTCTATCTTGGAGTGCTCAACCAGGAGCCACTGCCGAGAACGGGTGCCGTTGACGGACCCGTTTACCTCTGAGTTTCATCGCGAGTACCCGAGCAGGAAGATCGGCTGGGAATCTCGATTCTGGCGACGAGTCGAAATTTGGCGCCTTTCAAGATTTTGTGATTCGGGTTGAAGTCCCGTTGTCTTATTCGGAACCCTTTGACCCTTGAGACCGCAGCAACTTTGACCTGTCCTGGACCGGCGACACCGTCTTCTCCGCGGCTGCGTACGCCTGTTTCGGCTCGCAGTGCATGCGAAGTCGCAAGACGAAAAGATCATTCAGAGTGCGGGGTTTAGGGTGTTTGGGTGCATTTCAGGTTGAAGGTTGAGGGTACCGGGATCAGGGTGCAGGGTTTACAAGGATTTAGCCCATCAGGGTGTATGATTGAGGTTGAAGGCTTAAGGTTCAGGGCTTAGGGTTTCGACTTTAGGGTGCAGCGGCTTTGGTTTCAGGTATAGGGTTTAGGGGTTTTTTGTCGGTACTGTGGTGAGGCACGTGATGCCGACAAGCCCCTTCCCGTAATTCATCTTGGCAGTAGGACCCTGAACGACTGTGTACGATTTGTTGCTGTCTTCGCGTGCACGTGTCTGCGTGCTTTGGCGCCGTTTGCGGATGAGCTTTGCGATTTGGCTTTCTCAAAAAATGGGGTCCCAGGGCGGTGTGCTCTTGAGCAACTTCCATGATGAAAGCATCGCTTACCCATGACTTCTACCCGCTATGGGAATTTCTACATCAGTTCGGGGTTGGGTGAAAACTCCTCTCGCATCCTACCCAGCTAGATCAGATTCAGGCTTTCCCTGGGGAGTTTGGGCTCCTTGGCTCTGTTTTTCTTGCTGGTTGGTGATTCTGGAGTGGTAGGGTTGATGATATAAATCCTACATTACCTTCAGGACCCTAAGTATGCCTTATTATGGGTAATGCCGGATTTATATCATCAACCGTAGGAGGCCTTACTGATTTAAGAAAGTGTGGTCAGGATCAGAGCGTCAAGGCCGTCGGAGAGTGTGGGAACGAAGGTGCTTTGGAAAATGTTGAGCTTAGGGAGCTGACCCAGACGGCTGTTCCCGACTAACCTCAACTTATCATATGCTTCTTCTGCTAATTCACAATGCTGTTTACCCCAAGTATTTGACCTGTTCTGCTACGGGAACTACAGCGCCGTCAGAAAATCTTAGCCGGGGTGCGGGCGGAGCAACTCTGTGTTGATAGTTTTACGTTTCACTGCAAGGCCCTCAGAGTTGACTGTGGTATGGTCCGAAACAAACAAAAGGGTGTCACCAGCGTACCTGAAGTCACGGGCCGAATCATCCTCTGACCACATATTGGTAGGTAAGCCCTGCCATTTAAGGGTATTGTCCATGTCATACAAAATCACAGAGAGCACGATTATGAATAAACATGGGAACACTAGGAGAAGTCCGTGTCACATACTTGCCGAGATTTTATGCATGGCAGTTTGATCGTTCGGCCCTCGCGATATTTCGACCGATGCCGCGAGATTTGGGCCGCCTCTACCCCCCAATCCCCAGTGAAGGAGTGCTTGGTATTCAAGGCCGAAGGGTTTAGGGCTTAAGGTATATGTTTCAGGGCTCAAGGCCTCAAGAAGAACTCAAGCCCTGATCGAATTCTTACAAAGAGCCCGAGTTGAACCCTCGGCGCTCTTGTAGTATGTTCTTCTACTTGGAGGATCATGGGACTTAGTAAGTAAGGTTATAAGTACCCTAACTATAGCCCCAATTACTAAGTCCCATGATCCTTCAAGTAGTACTATGCTTTTGCACCCTGTAGGACCTCATTCTGCTGCGCACTGAGCGCGGCGGCCTCGTACTCCTCCCGCAGGGTTTTGGGCTCAGGGCCTAAGGCCTAGACTTGTTCATCAGCACGCGGGGGCCTCTGAAAGCCGTACAGACGAAGAGGCCCAAAACATCCACAAGTCGAGATCAATAACTCGACTGGGAAAACTTAAACGACACAACCAGATATCCGCACACGCACACGCATACATAGACATACATGTGGATAAATACAAAACCTCCACAAACGATGACAAAACTCAACCCAAAGGCTGAAGAACACCAAACCGAGGCCACTTGGTTCAAACATGTTTAAGGCCTAGTTGCTGCTATAGTTGGCCCTAGCTTAAGCGCACTGAAGGAGGATGCTTGCACGCATTCAGTTCTGCCAGAAGCGCTTAGGCCAAACCTGCTTAAACAACGGGATCAACAGAATGGCTCAAACAAATACTGTTATAGCGCCAGATCTCCAAAGTATGGCCAAGCGCGTTGATGATTAATAGACACCTTTTTACCACATATAGCACATGTGTACATGTAAAGATAGAACCTATAGATAGGTATAGACATACATGCGAGTTCTGTTGATTCCGACCGTCGCCATGTCAAGTGGCAACCTTCTTTGAGTACGGACCCTGATGTTGAAGGCAAGGCAAGGGTCACCGTGCAGGACCACACCCGGGCGGCACGTTCACCGCTGTCGACGGGCTAGAGGCTCATCATCATGAATTGCCGGTCAACTGTCAACGATCACGTTTGAGGTTCAGCAGCAACGCGTACGTAAGTACACTCTGACGAAGGTCTTCCCCGCTGTGCAGGTAAATGCATGCATACATACATGCAAACCTACATGCACATATACAGACATACATACACAAATCCGTACATAGATGCATGCAGACATGCATGCGTACATACATACATACATACATACATACATACATACATAAGTACATACTTACATACATGCATACGTACATACATACACATATGCATACATGCATACATACACACATACCTACATACGTAAATATGCATGCATGCATCCATCCCTTCCTCCCTCCATCCATACATCCATCCACCATTCATCCAGCCATACGTACATACAGACATACATACGTACATACAGACACATACACAAACTAGACAGGGTGTAACGTTCATTAATGATTATGTATGCACATGTGCACAAACCAGCGTACTTGTGTCTATGTACATGCATGCATTTGTGTATTGATGCACAATCATAGTCACATGTACATATGTAAACGTACACTTATTCAGGTCCAGGCTTCTGCATCCAGGTCTGCCTCGTTTATGTGTGCGCAGTCTTTGCGTCCTCAGCCTGAGCCAGCACGCCGTACAGCACAGCCTCACGGGATCGGACCTGTGAGGGAAGATGCGGGGGTCACTGCTTCTAATTCTAACCATTAAAGCACCTAAAATCCGTGTTCTGGTATTTGGCAGCGGACAGAAGCTAGCAAAGACTTGGAGTTTGTCCCCGGCGTCTGAAGCGAGGCTTGCAGAGGCTTCCAACTCAAGCACTTAGCCAGTTAGCAGCCTGCCCCGCCGTGCTGCTGATCATGGCTTGCAGAGCCTGTAGGAGCGAAACAGGTAATGCAGGGTCCTTAAGCAGTGGAATCGGATTTTGAGCGCAGTCTAGTAGAACTGCACAAAGGAAGCCTAACACATGAAGCCCTTGAGGCTCTGAATGGGTGCTACTCAGAATCGGATTCTCTGAGAGGGTCAGGGGTTTAGGGTTCCAGGCCTTCGGGTTCAGGTTTTGGGGTTCAGGGCCGTGGCTTTTTAAACTTTACAGCATAACCCGACTCGCGCCTTCAAGTGCGCTTGGGTCATGTGCTGCTGTGCCTGAAATCAATCGGCGCTGGCTTCCCAGAGAGCACACCCGCCGGAGCTAAGGAATGGACATGGCTTACACTTAATTTTTCAGGCCTCTTAGTATGATTTGAGATATGTTGCTTGATTAGAGGGTATGGGGGGCCGGCCAAGAAACACAACCTCAAAATCAAAAAATGACTCAGCAATTGGAAGGGCCTGCATCGCAGCCGCCTCCTGGGTGGTCACCCGAATCCGTGATGCCCACTCGGCCATCCTGTGGTGGGGCTTTCAATGGGAACACATGGACACGGCAGCCCGGCTGGGAAGCTTCCATTCTTTTCCCTGACCTGAGGAGCGACCTCCGGTTGCAGCAGTGATCATGATGGTTAAGATAAGGGGCCTTAATGATTAGAATACGGTTTTGGGTTCCGTTAAAGGGATCCTTAAAGGGTTGCTATAAGGGATCTGCAAGGAGACTATAATTAGGGGCCTTCATAATCAGAATGGGGTGGGGAACATCATACTACATTTAGAATAAGGAACTCCCAAAATGGTTTTGGCAATTATTTAGTGCTCCAACCCCTCCACACCGTTTTTGTCACGAGCTGCGCTAAAGAGCGGTAATGATCATTTGTCAGCGACAAAGATGTGAAAACAAGGTGCGCGGCCGACCCCCGGAAACGCGACGCGCCCAGAGAAAGCCCGCGAGCGGCCACCACGCCCCTCGGGCACGCGCACCCAGAGGCCAGCGCACCAAACAGCACAAGCCACAACCTTCCCGGCTGTCCCCGCAACAAGGGTCAATACCCAAAAGCAGCCCCTGGCATCCACCCCACCCTTTCGGCGCAGCTAGTAGCCGGCTCAAGGAAAGGATAAGGTGAGGAAGGCAGAAGGAATGGACACGGGAGGGAGGGCGGGGAAGAGTCAAATGACTCATGGAGCTCAGATGTTTTGGTAATCCGCTCTGGCTTTAGTGGCTAAGGCCTGCACCTGCCGAAGTTTGCCCGGTGGCAACTGAAGCTCAGACAGCTGAGCAAGGCCATCACAAAGGTAGATGCGAGCGGTTCGTACCGCAGACCAGCGCCCACGAAGGCAAACACTGGCCAAATTATTAGAGCGGCGGAACTCGTGGGTGGCACCGCCGCGACGGAGGGAGTACCAGCGGTAAGGGGCCGTAATCCCTAACTTCTGCAGCAGCTCACTGAGGCGTTTGCGTTGAAGGCCCGGAGACACTTGGGACAACAAGTCCCCAGGCTGCTTGTGTTTGCAGAAGTTGGCGACGGCCGTACCTACAAAGAAGTCATCAATGGTCAGTGACTCCACGGCCCCTTGCCGTTGACCACTTTTGCTCATAGGAAGAGTCCAAGTGCCTTTGCCACGAGACAAGACGAAGTCCCCAGCTTTGGCCGCAAAGAGTTCCCCCGACCGTGCAAAAGTGTGAAAGCCCAGCAAGAACAGCACCGCCGTGTCTCTCCAACCCGCTTCAAAAGCCAGCTGAGCAAGGGCATAGATCAAAGCCACTGTGAAGGGAGGTGCCCGAGCTGGAAGTTCCGAACGGCCCCATGCTGCATGAAGCCGCCAACTTGCAATGAGATGGGGTTCAACCGAAGGGATGAAATGACCGAGCCCTGAGGGTATCACTGGCATATCCCTTGGGGTCCCCATCCTGCCACAGCTCTTCAATAAAGGATGAAACTTCGCGATCAAGCAAAAGAAAGTTCGAAGGGTAGGGCTTATGGTGAAAAATCAAAAAGGTGAGAAAACGTGAAACAGCAACAAGGTATCTACTTTCCGTCTTAGGAGCAACGACCTGAGACCGCAGGGCTCCTAAAGCTTTCCGCTCCTCTTTTCTTTCCTCCTTCGTGCGCTTTCCGAGAACCGTCTTGTGTTTAGGCATCGCTGCTGGCTCTTTTCTTCACCCAGCGACTGGGACCGTCGCCTGGGTTCCACTCCGTCTTCACCCAAACCACAAGCAAGCGCACGTTGGAGGCGAGCTGGAGCGCCGCGATCCGCCGGAGAGGGTTCTGCATAATCCTGGCCGAGCTTCGCCCCTTTGCCAGGATACCGACCACTCCTTGGTTGTCCACCATCAGGATCAGCTTTCTGTTGGTGACATCCGCGGCGCGCGTGAGCTTCTTCATCAGGTCCAGCACCGCCACAGACTCCAACAGGGTGATATGTCCTTGTTGCTTCCATTTGTAACTCAGCAGCACCTTCCACTGCCAAAGGGTCGGATCCACCGACCGCCTTCCAAAATCTGATGCCACGAATGGCAATCCCATGTCAAATCTCACATCCGTGCCCTTGTGCGACACGTTCCTCCCCACCAGCATCGCCAAGAACTGCTCGTCGCTAAGGCGGTGGTCAGGGTCCAAGGCCAGCCGAACAGGCAGGTCGGAATGGCTCACCCCCAAAGATCGGAAGTGATCCACATTGACCCGCCCGCTCGACCCCGACCCAAACTTCGAGCTCCAAGAAGCTTGCAAAAGTTGCTGGGATCGTGCCTCACCAGCCTCCCAGATTTTCCACAGTTCCGCGCTGAGATCTCGGCTTCCAGCTTCCGACAGGGGGAGGACCAGGTTTACCAGAAGCCGTGCCGCAACCACAACCGGCCAGGAGCTGCTGATCATCTGCTGCTTCTGGTCCTCCGTCACCTTCTGCTTGAAACTGAGGTGGTCACTGAAGAACCCCAACATCCTCAGCTGCTCGTCCGACTGTAGCCGTCGAACTCCAGAGCTGCCCTTCACCATGTTGGCCTCGACGTAGTGGCGGGGCGGCAGTCTCCAGCTGTCGCCCTTCCATCTCCCCAAAGTCTTGGAGTCCAGGTCTTCAATCGCAGCTTCCCTCGGTGCCGCCTGCTTTGGCTCGGGCCTTCCAAAGGAGAAGAAAGCCTCATTCTCCTTGTCCAGCTTCTGGCATCCCGGTCGAAGAAAGGTGCTGACGGGCGGTCTCTCAGTGTCAAAGACCATGGAAGTTGGCTTATCTGCCACCCGCTTGAGCTTCATGTCACCAGCCGTGACCACGTTCAAGCCCCGCAGCCACCACAAGCGTGGCCGTCGGCACCTCAACAGCTGGGCTCCTTCTATAAAGAAAACCCCCGCCTCCAGCTTGGAGCACATGCGCTCGAGGGTTTCTTCTTTCATCATCACATGCTCGTAGATCTCCACAATCTCCCAGGGGGCCAGCTTGACCGCCTTGCTTGCCTGGCCGAGCCAGTTTCGCAGCTGAATCATCGCATCCAGGTGCCCATCCACCTCAGCCGGCGCGCCGGAGGAGGAAGAAGCTCCACTCATGGAGCTAGGGCCTGCCCAGCCTCCTCCAAAGATTACCTTGGAGACTTTTGGAAAAGTCCTCCGCCAGCTCTTCACTTTTTCTACCTTTTTCTATTCTTTCTACCTTTTTCTACTTTTTTCTACCTTTTTCTACCTTTTTCTACCTTTTTCTACCTTTTTCTACCTTTTTCTACCTTTTTCTACCTTTTTCTACCTTTTATTCGGTTGAGGTTTCTTGATGTCCCCGTAGGTCAGGACGTACCCGCATTGCCGTCGCACCAGCTTGGTCCCAAGCTCGCTGGTGTCTTGTAGATCAGCCCCTGGGGCTGAAGTCCCAGCAACTGGCATGCCTGCCGCAGGCCACCCATTCCGCCGAAAACCTCAACGATCAGCACCGGGTCACAAGACCCACCAAGATCATCCCCAGATCCCAGCAGGTGGCACTTGGCGCGACCTCGAGCTGACAGCCCGGTGGTCACACAGGCCCCGCCGCCTTCAAGAGAGGCATCCGTGGCGTATACGTTCGGCGAGACCTGCACCCTTTGGTCCATCCAGTGCATGGGCAAGGAGCTGATGATCATCAGGAGCTGACCCGCATGGGCCCCGGCCCTTCACCCGAAAAGGCAGGCCAGCGGCCGGCAGAACTGCGCATGGCGTTCCCGACCACTGAAAGCAGCTCCTGTGACCCGCAAGCCTCGCCTGGCTCAGCACAGAGTATCCGAAGGGTGGCCCCAAGGACCGCCCAACGGAGTTTCCGCGCCGATCCGACAAGCCCCCGGTCACCCAGTTGTTCTGCTCCCAAGGAGCTCCAAGCCAAAGTTCCTTCCGCCGCCTTTTTGGGGTCCCGGCCCACATTCCAAACCTTGAACACTTCTCGTAGCTGAAGTTGAGCATCCGAAGGCCGGCCCTCATAGATTCCAGCGTCACACGCTGCCACCACCTTGAACCCATCATAGGTGTCGACATAGAAGCTGTGGTACTTTCGGGGCGTGCTGAGGGGCATCAGAGGTGCAGGCTCGCCCATTCGCACCACACGGTCAGCCGGCACCCCGGCCAAAGACCCGAACCTTTCCAGCGAGCTCTGGATAAAGTCCACGATATTCGACCACCCCATGGGTGCACTTTTCACGCGCGGCCGGCTGTTCAGGCTGCCTTTCCCATCATTGAAGCAGCTGCTTGCAGCCACCTTTCCAATCACAAAGTACCCCCGCCACTTTGGCGATGGCGCGAAAATGTGAAAGCAGTGGCGAACGTCTTCAGCATAGCAGAGAACCACCTCATCCTCCAGCAGGGCGATTTGCCCCCAAATCGGGGAGTAGCCCATATGGGCAGAAGGCTGTCCAGGCACCCGGGCCTGCACTTGATTGCTCGGGATCAAATTGATGATCAGCCGGAGGGTCCTCAGCCACGTCCCGTCGGCCTGTGGACACCGAACATGCCATTGTAGACGGGTTCACTTCTCGCTCAAGCATCCCAGCCTCCACCAGGTGCGACACAATGAGGTCGTACTCCTCGCGGCTGTCCACCAAAACAGAGGCTGAAGTAACAGCCTCCCCCAGCTCCTGGTCCGGTATCCTAAGGAGCTCCGGGTCCTCAACATACGGCCGCAAAGCAGGGTCCACAGTCTCTGCCAGGGAGATCCTTCCAGCCTGGAACATGCGGCGCAATGGCCGCCCAAGACAGCTTGTAGGCCTTCTGCACCTCACGCCCAGCATACATGTCTCCAAGCGATTGCCGCAGGCTTTCCCACGACCCGATCTCAATCGCCTCCTTGCCCTCGACAAAGAGCTCCGCATAGCCCCGGAGGCGCTCGCAAGTGGCTTTCTGAGCCACGGTCCAAGTCGCTGGGTGCAGCAGCCCCTGTCCCAATATGTGGTTGGAACCATCCCACATATGATTCAGCAAAGCCACTTGGAGCCAGGTCCACGCCTCCACACCAACGCGTGAGCCCTGCTCGACGATCTCCAGCCAGGTCTCCGATGGGAGGTCATGCGAGCCCCAGGCTTCCAACATCACCTTCATCACCCGAACCATCTCTGGGCTCTCCTTGGGAAGAGCCATGGGAAGAAGTTCCACCGGCGACTGCTTGAAGTGCTCTTTAGCACAGCAGGGCAACACTCGAATGAATGTACCCAACGACCCCGGCCTTGCGCGCAAGCCCAGGCAGAGCACAACACCGAGGAAAGAAGCAGGCGTTGTGGGCCGCCCCAGCAGCCAGAAACCCAGCCACTTCTTCCAGACAGCTTCATTCCACACCGGCTGCGGCTCCTTCCCAAGAACATAGGTGCTGATCACACCATACGCTGTATCCTCTTCACCTTTGTGCACATACAGGGCCCTTCCATCCAAGGCCTCCTTGACCTGCCCCACCACCAACTGCTCGTAGTAGGGCTCCTGGAAAACAGAGCATGGGAGGCCACCGCCTCCCCGGCCAACGTAGATTCCTCCATCAGCTCCACGCCACCCAGGGTAGTACTCGCGAATCTCGACGCCATTGTGCCGGCCCAAGAGCCGACCAGAAGCCTCCATATCACTTTCTGTCGCCGGCACCCCCAGACCAAAAAGCTCGGCAAATGCCTTGGACACTTGAGGACCATCCTGCTCGGCCAACACGCTAAACTTTTGCGAAAGGATCTCCAAGAGGGTCTCCGACGGGAGGTCAATGTTATCTATAACAATGCCTGCGAAGTGGTAGGCAGCCTCCTCCTCTGCTTTCGCGGTCACCACACGTGACATGACCTCCTTGTAGAGCGCTGCCACCTTCGAGTTCCCCAGGTGACCCTCGATCTGGGCCCGCTGCTCTCCGATCTCCTCTAACATCGAGTCCAGCAACCGCGTCAGGATAGGGATCTCAAGCGACTCCAGCCGGACCCGAAGGCCAGCCGTTGCCTGCTGAGACCCCTCCCCCTCGCGGTCTACTTCCACCGAGCCTTGCCCTTCTTGCCCTTGCCCTTTCCTTTTGCGCCGCGACCTTTCGGTGTGTTGTCCGGGGCCTTGTCGTTGTTCCCGTCGGCCGCCTTCTCGCCTGCTCCTGGAGCGCCCTCGTCGGCCGCCGTCTCGGTCCACCACGATCGCCCCTCCCATCGGGGCGCTCTCCTTGGCCCTTGCCTGAGAGACCAGTCGGTCCGAACCTCCTGCTGGGCTGCCTTCAGCTCCTGCTGGAACATCGCCGACCATTCTCCGGTCTTGACCAACTCCAGCTGCTCGGCTTGCGTCCAGTTGCCCTGCAGGTGGGCCAGCTCGATCGCCTTGAGCCTCTGCACCAGGATGTCGAGTGCCCTCAGCGGGTCGTTCTCGGCGACCGCGTCGATCAGTCGAGAGCTCCTTGAAGTTCCTGGCCCCTATCTCGACCGCCGGGTGCGCCGTGAGGTAAATCAGCTGGAAGTACCCCCACGCCACTGCCGGCAGCTTGGCCCTTTCGTTGCTGGCCATCACCCCTCCGTGGGCCTGGGCGAGGAGCTCCGAGCACCGCTTCTCTTTCTCCTTCTTCTTCTGCTCGGCTGCCTCGTTGACTGCAGCCTGCCCTGGCGATCCCAAGGCCTCTGCAAGCCCAGCCACGCCGGGCAAGCCGGTCTGCACCCCCAAAGCTGTGGGATCAGCATTGATCAGGCTGAAGACCACCCAAACCCGGCGCTTCTCCCACAAGCCCCGGGTGTGCTCCAGCTCTAGCTTTGTCCTCCTCGGTAAGCCAGCCGACCTGCAGCACCTGGTCCATCCCCAACAGCCTGAACACATCGACGTGGATGGGGTGCCGGTACATGGTGCTTTCTCTGCAGCTGGACTGCGGGCTTCCACAAAAGTGCAAAGGAACAACCCGGTCGAGCGTGTAAGCTCCATAAGTCTGCTCCACCCAGTAGTCGTAGTAGCCGTCCTGGATCGCCACCACATGGCTCTCAAAGATCCGGCCGCTTTTCATTTGCCGGTCGTCGCCTGTCTCCACCAGGTAGGCAATCACGTGTCCCTGTTGCCGGCCCCTGTTGTCATACCCAGGAAACTCCACCCAGGCACCCTTCTCCAACCCATCAAAGTGGGACTCGCGAGCCCGGGCTCCAGTTCGCCGCCAGCTAGGCATCCGGCTCGCCATTGGCCACTCAGGCAATCTATGGAGCTGCTGGGTGCTTTCCGCGGGATTTACCCTGCACTCCCCTCAAGAAGCACAGGCACCCACGCAGCTCCCAGCCCTCACCTCAATAAGGGCTCTTCCCAGGCCGAAACTGCGTGACACGGGGAGTCGCACTATCGAACAGGGGACTGCTTTCTGGGCCCCTTTTGTACCATACCCATAGCCATGCTAGAATGGAGAGTTTCAGGTTTAGGGTCCAGGGCACGAGTCCCGGGTGTAACCAGGGCAAGGCCTAGGCTAGTGGACGCTACAAACTACTTGGCTCTATACCTGGGCTGTGTCCATGTGGTAACTATGAACCCCGCAACTTGCTAAAGTTAGTCCTTATGATATTGCCTGTCTTGATACCTGTACCACTCTTACCCAAGTTTTGGCATCAAGATTCCTTTCACTCCCATCGGCATTCCTGCTACAAGCCACCTTAATCCCCGAAACCACCAGGCCCTGCAATCCAATATAGAGGCCCAAAACTTATCAACACTCTGTTTGTGATTCCTTGTGGTATTTATAGTATATTAATTACACCCCCAAAAACCTGTTCTATTCATTAAGATTATCTTCCCGGCCTCTCTTGGCCGGTCTCGAAATCCTCGGCCTGCCGACAGACTGAATGTGTGCGGTCCCACGAAACCTCCAGAGCTTGAGAGGATGTGCGCAATATCGGGGCCTTAATAGTGCTATATTTTGAACAAGGAGCATCGGAGGAAGTCACATGCTTGCGTTTGTGCGAAGGTCCTGCCAAAGGTGCCTTTTTCAACAAGAATACGACCTTCTCTGGCAGCCATGCGCCCCGGCCAACGGGAACTCTCCAAGCCCAGATCCCAAAGCTGAAAACCTGAAAAGCAATATTCTCAAACCTGAAACCCACACCCTGCAAACCTGAAAATCCTACTCAGTCCTACTCCACATAAGCCCTGCACCCCAAATCCAAACCCTGAACCCTAAACCCCGCCCTCCCTCCCATGGCGCCGTGGCCGCTGCGCGGGCGGCCCGGAGAGCTCCGAGCTCTGCCTGAAGGCGCAAAGGAGTTGGATGTGGGTTTAAGCCTTTTTTTGGTGGGTTTTGGGTTTTAAGTTTTAGCTTTTTTTGGTGGGTTGGGGTTTAGGGCTTAATTTTTTTTTGTGGGTTTTGGGTTTGGGGTTTAGGTTTTTGTTGGGTGGGTTTTGGGGCTAGGGTTTAGGGTTGAACCCGTCGAGGCGAGGGGCGATCTGGGCAGAGGCCTGGGGTTCCCAGAGCCTCCAAAATCCCCTTAATTAAGGAATGTTCCTTAAAGTATAGGAGGACCCATAATATGATTTAAGGAATACCTTAAAGTACAGTAGGACCCATAAAATGATTTAAGGAATATACCTTAAAGTATAGTAGGACCCATAATATGATTTGAGGTATATTCCCTAAAGTATAGTAGGATCCATAATATGATTTAAGGTATATTCCTTAAAGTATAGTAGGATCCATAATATGATTTAAGGTATATTCCTTAATTTAGGGGGTTTTGGAGGCTCTGGGTTCGGGGTTCCCAAAACTTCGTTGCTGAGTTCATAAGCTCCCAAACAGCGTACACTTTCAGTTTTTTGGTTGGGTAATACGGTTGATGATATAAACCCTGCATTACCTTAAGGACCTGAAACTATGGGAACTATGGTATACTCCTCATTATGGGTAATGCAGGATTTATATCATCAACCGTGTTATCCCAAAAAAGTGTAAAGTGTATCCACTCAGCTGCTGAGAAAATCTCCATCCAGGCCTTGGCGGCTCGGGCTTCCGCCGCCAGGGCCTCGTCAGGCTCTCGTGAGTTCTGGCGGCTTTGGGATCTAGGATTCTAGGGATTTAGGGTTTTAGGGTTTAGGGTTTAGGGATTTAGGGATTTATGATTTAGGGATTCAAGGATTTAGGGATGTAGGGTTTAGGGGTGTGGAGGCTTTGATTCTGGAGGGTTCGGGATTTTTGAGATTGGCGGTTCTGGTGCTTAGGAGTGTCAGGCTTTTTCGGTTTAGGGGTGTAGGGCTTAGAGACGTGGGATTCGGAGTTTGTCTGAGTAACTTAAAGATGAACTGTAGGATTGCGACAAGATGCCCGATAGTGAGCAGCAGCAGTAGCTAGTATAGCCATGTAGGGACAGTGAGGGAATACCATCATCATGTACACAGACCCTTGTCCTATCATACCTCAACACCCAAAATACTCCATGAGCCTTAAACCCTCAAAGCTCCCACAAAATCCGTGAAAGGCTCTGCTGGCATGTGCCGCGACGCTTTTTCTAGCCTCCACGGCGAAAGCCACTACCCAGACGTTGCTGAGGCTTAAACTGGCTCGCAGGACAGCCTGTGGGCCCTGCAACTCCCTAAAGCTAGGAAAACTGTGTTGCCTTTGGCAATCTGTGCTTGGCTACCTGTTCTGTTTGGGCGGCAACATCTACAGACGGTCGATGCACTTCAAGTCCTCCATGCACTTCACCAGGCGGTCTGCCATCGTCTCCTCACCCGCTCGCAGGGACATGCGAGGGTCGTAGTACTTCTTGTTGGGCTTCTCCGCTCCTTCTGGGTTGCCGATCTGGCCCTGCAGGTAGTCCTTGTTCTTCTTCTGGTACTCGTTCATGCCGTCCCAGAAGGCCCACTGGGTGTCCTCGGTGTTCTGAACGCTCACAGCCACACACAGAAAACAGTTCTGAAACAAACCCTCAACTCTACTATAGCTCTACAACGAGTAAAGCCTGGACTCGGTGTCGATGTTCATCTTGATGACGCCGGCCTCGATGGCATAGCGGATGTCCTCCAAGGAAGAGCCGGAGCCTCCGTGGAACACAAAAGACACCGGCTTGTCGTCGTCGGTGCCAAGCTTCTCCTTGATGAACTTCTGGGTGTTGTGGAGGATCACCGGCTTCAGGCTCACGTTGCCTGGGGCATAGACGCCGTGGACATTGCCGAAGGCTGCCGCCACGGTGAACTTGCCGTTGGGCACGGCAGACAAGGTCTCGTAGACCTGCCACACCTCCTCAGGCTGGGTGTAAAGCCTCGAGGAGTCCACATCAGTGTTGTCCACGCCGTCTTCTTCACCGCCAGTCACGCCCAGCTCCATCTCCAAGAGAAGATCCACCTTCGACATGCGCTCCAGGTACTTCTTGCAGATGCTGATGTTCTCCTCCAAAGGCTCCTCTGAGAGATCCAACATGTGGGAGGAGAACAAGGGCTCTCCGTTCTTCTCGAAATACTCCTCGTTGGCCTCCATGAGTCCGTCGAACCAAGGAAGCCAAGCCTTCTGGCAGTGGTCAGTGTGCAGGATCACAGGCACGCCGTAGAGCTTGGCCACCTGACGAACATGGAGGGCACCAGCCACGGTGCCGGCGATGCTGGCGGCATCGTCTGAGTTGTCAGCTGCCTTTCCGGCGATGAACTGGCCGCCACCCTTTGAGAAAGTGACCATGATGGGACCGCCGGCCTTCTTGGCGGCCTCCATGCACGCGTTGATGGAGCTGCTGCTCACCACGTTCACTCCGGGAATCGCGAACTCGTTCTCCTTGGCGTAGTTCAGCAGGTCCACCAGAGCCTGGCCTGTGACAACGCCGGGCTTCACGGAAGCCGGCATCTTGGTGAAGGTCTTCTCAGCCACCGCCGTGGCCTGGCGGACGACCTGGCATCGGCGCTGAGTTCGCTTGCCAGCCTGAGCGGCAGCGGCTGCGACACCAGCGGCGCCCAGAGCAAGGGCAGCCGCTGAGGAAGTGGTGGAGGTCACGCTTGCGGTGGCCTGCTGCCTCAACTGGCGCACCTCGCGCTGCTCCTGCACCTGTGGGGCAGTCGGGGCCACGAAAGCCTGGGCGGCGGCGTAGGCGCCCACGCCGGCGAGGGCAACTGCGCAGCCCTTGGAAGGCATGGCTCGCTCGAAGGCTCGAAGAAAACGGGAGAACCGAGCTGTAAAAGGCTGCAGGATTTCTGGGCTTGTGATGAGTGATGCAAGTCCCAAGCTGTATCGTCTGCATCGTCTACGGTGATGCATTTTGCGGCCTGAACGGCGACAGCCACTACCCAGACCTCGCTGAGTTAGAGTGGCTCACAGGACAAGCTGTGGGCCCTGCAACTCCCTAAAGCTAGGAAAACTGCAGACATCTCCTGATGTCGGATGTTGCCTTTGGCAATCTGTGCTTGGCTACCTGTTCTGTTTGGGCGGCGACATCTACAGACGGTCGATGCACTTCAAGTCCTCCATGCACTTCACCAGGCGGTCTGCCATCGTCTCCTCACCCGCTCGCAGGGACATGCGAGGGTCGTAGTACTTCTTGTTGGGCTTCTCCGCTCCTTCTGGGTTGCCGATCTGGCCCTGCAGGTAGTCCTTGTTCTTCTTCTGGTACTCGTTCATGCCGTCCCAGAAGGCCCACTGGGTGTCCTCGGTGTTCTGAACGCTCACAGCCACACACAGAAAACAGTTCTGAAACAAACCCTCAACTCTACTATAGCTCTACAACGAGTAAAGCCTGGACTCGGTGTCGATGTTCATCTTGATGACGCCGGCCTCGATGGCATAGCGGATGTCCTCCAAGGAAGAGCCTGAGCCTCCGTGGAACACAAAAGACACCGGCTTGTCGTCGTCGGTGCCAAGCTTCTCCTTGATGAACTTCTGGGTGTTGTGGAGGATCACCGGCTTCAGGCTCACGTTGCCAGGGGCATAGACGCCGTGGACATTGCCGAAGGCTGCCGCCACGGTGAACTTGCCGTTGGGCACGGCAGACAAGGTCTCGTAGACCTGCCACACCTCCTCAGGCTGGGTGTAAAGCCTCGAGGAGTCCACATCAGTGTTGTCCACGCCGTCTTCTTCACCGCCAGTCACGCCCAGCTCCATCTCCAAGAGAAGATCCACCTTCGACATGCGCTCCAGGTACTTCTTGCAGATGCTGATGTTCTCCTCCAAAGGCTCCTCTGAGAGATCCAACATGTGGGAGGAGAACAAGGGCTCTCCGTTCTTCTCGAAATACTCCTCGTTGGCCTCCATGAGTCCGTCGAACCAAGGAAGCCAAGCCTTCTGGCAGTGGTCAGTGTGCAGGATCACAGGCACGCCGTAGAGCTTGGCCACCTGACGAACATGGAGGGCACCAGCCACGGTGCCGGCGATGCTGGCGGCATCGTCTGAGTTGTCAGCTGCCTTTCCGGCGATGAACTGGCCGCCACCCTTTGAGAAAGTGACCATGATGGGACCGCCGGCCTTCTTGGCGGCCTCCATGCACGCGTTGATGGAGCTGCTGCTCACCACGTTCACTCCGGGAATCGCGAACTCGTTCTCCTTGGCGTAGTTCAGCAGGTCCACCAGAGCCTGGCCTGTGACAACGCCGGGCTTCACGGAAGCCGGCATCTTGGTGAAGGTCTTCTCAGCCACCGCCGTGGCCTGGCGGACGACCTGGCATCGGCGCTGAGTTCGCTTGCCAGCCTGAGCGGCAGCGGCTGCGACACCAGCGGCGCCCAGAGCAAGGGCAGCCGCTGAGGAAGTGGTGGAGGTCACGCTTGCGGTGGCCTGCTGCCTCAACTGGCGCACCTCGCGCTGCTCCTGCACCTGTGGGGCAGTCGGGGCCACGAAAGCCTGGGCGGCGGCGTAGGCGCCCACGCCGGCGAGGGCAACTGCGCAGCCCTTGGAAGGCATGGCTCGTTCGAAGGCTCGAAGAAAACGGGAGAACCGAGCTGTAAAAGGCTGCAGGATTTCTGGGCTTGTGATGAGTGACGCAAGTCCCAAGCTGTATCGTCTGCATCGTCTACGGTGATGCATTTTGCGGCCTGAACGGCGACAGCCACTACCCAGACCTCGCTGAGTTAGAGTGGCTCACAGGACAAGCTGTGGGCCCTGCAACTCCCTAAAGCTAGGAAAACTGCAGACATCTCCTGATGTCGGATGTTGCCTTTGGCAATCTGTGCTTGGCTACCTGTTCTGTTTGGGCGGCGACATCTACAGACGGTCGATGCACTTCAAGTCCTCCATGCACTTCACCAGGCGGTCTGCCATCGTCTCCTCACCCGCTCGGAGGGACATGCGAGGGTCGTAGTACTTCTTGTTGGGCTTCTCCGCTCCTTCTGGGTTGCCGATCTGGCCCTGAAGGTAGTCCTTGTTCTTCTTCTGGTACTCGTTCATGCCGTCCCAGAAGGCCCACTGGGTGTCCTCGGTGTGCTGAGCTCTCGAGAGAGCACTTTACTACATCATGTTAGGGGCACTGGCTGGAAAATGGGCAGTGGGGCTTCTTGCGGTAGTCGTGAGGGGTCTCTATTTCAGCATGCAACAACGAGTAAAGCCTGGACTCGGTGTCGATGTTCATCTTGATGACGCCGGCCTCGATGGCATAGCGGATGTCCTCCAAGGAAGAGCCTGAGCCTCCGTGGAACACAAAAGACACCGGCTTGTCGTCGTCGGTGCCAAGCTTCTCCTTGATGAACTTCTGGGTGTTGTGGAGGATCACCGGCTTCAAGCTCACGTTGCCTGGGGCATAGACGCCGTGGACATTGCCGAAGGCTGCCGCCACGGTGAACTTGCCGTTGGGCACGGCAGACAAGGTCTCGTAGACCTGCCACACCTCCTCAGGCTGGGTGTAAAGCCTCGAGGAGTCCACATCAGTGTTGTCCACGCCGTCTTCTTCACCGCCAGTCACGCCCAGCTCCATCTCCAAGAGAAGATCCACCTTCGACATGCGCTCCAGGTACTTCTTGCAGATGCTGATGTTCTCCTCCAAAGGCTCCTCTGAGAGATCCAACATGTGGGAGGAGAACAAGGGCTCTCCGTTCTTCTCGAAATACTCCTCGTTGGCCTCCATGAGTCCGTCGAACCAAGGAAGCCAAGCCTTCTGGCAGTGGTCAGTGTGCAGGATCACAGGCACGCCGTAGAGCTTGGCCACCTGACGAACATGGAGGGCACCAGCCACGGTGCCGGCGATGCTGGCGGCATCGTCTGAGTTGTCAGCTGCCTTTCCGGCGATGAACTGGCCGCCACCCTTTGAGAAAGTGACCATGATGGGACCGCCGGCCTTCTTGGCGGCCTCCATGCACGCGTTGATGGAGCTGCTGCTCACCACGTTCACTCCGGGAATCGCGAACTCGTTCTCCTTGGCGTAGTTCAGCAGGTCCACCAGAGCCTGGCCTGTGACAACGCCGGGCTTCACGGAAGCCGGCATCTTGGTGAAGGTCTTCTCAGCCACCGCCGTGGCCTGGCGGACGACCTGGCATCGGCGCTGAGTTCGCTTGCCAGCCTGAGCGGCAGCGGCTGCGACACCAGCGGCGCCCAGAGCAAGGGCAGCCGCTGAGGAAGTGGTGGAGGTCACGCTTGCGGTGGCCTGCTGCCTCAACTGGCGCACCTCGCGCTGCTCCTGCACCTGTGGGGCAGTCGGGGCCACGAAAGCCTGGGCGGCGGCGTAGGCGCCCACGCCGGCGAGGGCAACTGCGCAGCCCTTGGAAGGCATGGCTCGTTCGAAGGCTCGAAGAAAACGGGAGAACCGAGCTGTAAAAGGCTGCAGGATTTCTGGGCTTGTGATGAGTGATGCAAGTCCCAAGCTGTATCGTCTGCATCGTATACGGTGATGCATTTTGCGGCCTGAACGGCGACAGCCACTACCCAGACGTCGCTGAGTTAGAGTGGCTCACAGGACAAGCTGTGGGCCCTGCAACTCCCTAAAGCTAGGAAAACTGCAGACATCTCCTGATGTCGGATGTTGCCTTTGGCAATCTGTGCTTGGCTACCTGTTCTGTTTGGGCGGCGACATCTACAGACGGTCGATGCACTTCAAGTCCTCCATGCACTTCACCAGGCGGTCTGCCATCGTCTCCTCACCCGCTCGCAGGGACATGCGAGGGTCGTAGTACTTCTTGTTGGGCTTCTCCGCTCCTTCTGGGTTGCCGATCTGGCCCTGAAGGTAGTCCTTGTTCTTCTTCTGGTACTCGTTCATGCCGTCCCAGAAGGCCCACTGGGTGTCCTCGGTGTGCTGAGCTCTCGAGAGAGCACTTTACTACATCATGTTAGGGGCACTGGCTGGAAATGGGCGGTGGGGCTTCTTGCGGTAGTCGTGAGGGGTCCCTATTTCAGCATGCAACAACGAGTAAAGCCTGGACTCGGTGTCGATGTTCATCTTAATGACGCCGGCCTCGATGGCATAGCGGATGTCCTCCAAGGAAGAGCCTGAGCCTCCGTGGAACACAAAAGACACCGGCTTGTCGTCGTCGGTGCCAAGCTTCTCCTTGATGAACTTCTGGGTGTTGTGGAGGATCACCGGCTTCAAGCTCACGTTGCCTGGGGCATAGACGCCGTGGACATTGCCGAAGGCTGCCGCCACGGTGAACTTGCCGTTGGGCACGGCAGACAAGGTCTCGTAGACCTGCCACACCTCCTCAGGCTGGGTGTAAAGCCTCGAGGAGTCCACATCAGTGTTGTCCACGCCGTCTTCTTCACCGCCAGTCACGCCCAGCTCCATCTCCAAGAGAAGATCCACCTTCGACATGCGCTCCAGGTACTTCTTGCAGATGCTGATGTTCTCCTCCAAAGGCTCCTCTGAGAGATCCAACATGTGGGAGGAGAACAAGGGCTCTCCGTTCTTCTCGAAATACTCCTCGTTGGCCTCCATGAGTCCGTCGAACCAAGGAAGCCAAGCCTTCTGGCAGTGGTCAGTGTGCAGGATCACAGGCACGCCGTAGAGCTTGGCCACCTGACGAACATGGAGGGCACCAGCCACGGTGCCGGCGATGCTGGCGGCATCGTCTGAGTTGTCAGCTGCCTTTCCGGCGATGAACTGGCCGCCACCCTTTGAGAAAGTGACCATGATGGGACCGCCGGCCTTCTTGGCGGCCTCCATGCACGCGTTGATGGAGCTGCTGCTCACCACGTTCACTCCGGGAATCGCGAACTCGTTCTCCTTGGCGTAGTTCAGCAGGTCCACCAGAGCCTGGCCTGTGACAACGCCGGGCTTCACGGAAGCCGGCATCTTGGTGAAGGTCTTCTCAGCCACCGCCGTGGCCTGGCGGACGACCTGGCATCGGCGCTGAGTTCGCTTGCCAGCCTGAGCGGCAGCGGCTGCGACACCAGCGGCGCCCAGAGCAAGGGCAGCCGCTGAGGAAGTGGTGGAGGTCACGCTTGCGGTGGCCTGCTGCCTCAACTGGCGCACCTCGCGCTGCTCCTGCACCTGTGGGGCAGTCGGGGCCACGAAAGCCTGGGCGGCGGCGTAGGCGCCCACGCCGGCGAGGGCAACTGCGCAGCCCTTGGAAGGCATGGCTCGTTCGAAGGCTCGAAGAAAACGGGAGAACCGAGCTGTAAAAGGCTGCAGGATTTCTGGGCTTGTGATGAGTGATGCAAGTCCCAAGCTGTATCGTCTGCATCGTCTACGGTGATGCATTTTGCGGCCTGAACGGCGACAGCCACTACCCAGACCTCGCTGAGTTAGAGTGGCTCACAGGACAAGCTGTGGGCCCTGCAACTCCCTAAAGCTAGGAAAACTGCAGACATCTCCTGATGTCGGATGTTGCCTTTGGCAATCTGTGCTTGGCTACCTTTCTGTTTGGGTGGCGACATCTACAGACGGTCGATGCACTTCAAGTCCTCCATGCACTTCACCAGGCGGTCTGCCATCGTCTCCTCACCCGCTCGGAGGGACATACGAGAATCATAATACTTCTTGTTGGGCTCTGCAGGTAGTCCTTGTTCTTGTTCTGGTACTCGTTCATGCCGTCCCAGAAGGCCCACTGGGTGTCTTTGCCAATTCACGTTGAGGGCACTGGCTGGAAAACTGGCAGTAGGGCTGCTTGCGATGTTCGCTACAGATGCTTGCGGGGCCTCTCATGGCCTCTCCTTCAGCATTTCACCACGAGCAGAGCCTTGACTCGATGGCTTCATTCATCTTGATGACGCCCGCCGTGCGATAGCACTCCATTGAACACAAAAGACACGGGCTTGTCGTTGTCGATGCCAAGCTTCTCCTGGACTTCTGACAATTCTGCAGGCCGGTTTCAGGCTCACGTTACCAGAGGCATAGACTGGTTATGAATAAGTAAAACAGTAGTTACCCTATTTATAACCCGAATTACTAAGCCCCAATGATACTCCGAGAAGACTCACTCAAGCTGACGGGCAGCCTTCATCGCTGCCTCGCTCTCCAAAGCCAGGCCACGACTTGAAAAGCTAGCACTGCTCTTAACATGCTAAAGGTAGCCTTCGCTCCACGAAAGGAGCCTCCCAAAAGTGGAAGAAGCTCGAGGATGAAACTGGCAAGAGAGCAGAGAAGGTACGGGCCTCTCTATATGGGAAGTTCAGAAAATGGGTGATCCATCCCGTGCACAGACCCGAAGCAGAAGGATCCTCAGTACGAGCACCCCTGTCCACCTTGCAAAAGCCCACGTAGATGCAAAGCTTGCAAAACCCTGCCAAACTCCTGAATACATCCGCTGGGCCGAAAGTTTTGAGCTACCGGGCCTTTCATCAGTATACAGGAGTGCTTCAAAAAGTAACGAATTCCCGACGCAGGCCAGCGGAGTAATTACTACGCCGTTTTTAATTATGAAATACTTATTCATTGCGGAGGAGGCCCCCAAGCTCGCTTGTGTCAGGAGTCTAGGCGGAAGAGGGTGGGGGCGTGGGTTAACTTCGTTGTTGAAGCTAGTGGGTCGAACTATCGGCCCGGCGCAGTACGGATTCCGGTTCAGGATAACTTGAAACCAGACTTACCAAAATTTGGCATTTGTAGAACCCGTACAGAGCCCTAAACCCCCAAACCCCTAAAGCCCTGATTTTCGAACCTTTGAAGCACCCCAAACCCTAAACCCTCAACCCTGAACCCAAACCCCAAACCCTAAACCCTGAACCCAGACCCTAAACTCTAAACCCTGAACCCCTAAAGCCCTAATTTTCGAAGCTTCAAACAACCGTCGGAAACTTCGGGGACTTCCTCCCGTCCTTCACTGGAAATCTTGGCCATCTGCGGCCCCTCGGTGGGAAAGTCCATCGGGCTTACGCTTACGCTTTCTGGGGGGGTTTTAAGGTTTGGATTTTGAAGTTTGTTTTTGGGGGTTCAGGGTTTTAGTGGCTGGGGGCTGTAGGGGTTTTAGGGTTTAGGGCTTAAGGTTTATAGAAGCCCCCGACAATACTGCAGACTAGGGTGCTTCAGGGGGCATGGTTAGACACTGCAACTGAATGCGGAATGATGTTAGACTCTTAGACAGTGTTCAGACTCCTATTGAATAGATTTGTTGGTGCTCATTGGCTTGAGTGCCTATCCAGGGCTTCGGAAGCAGGCTTATCTCCTTTTCGCAGCACTTCGGGATGTTCCTGCGGTGTGCCTTCTGTGACAGACTGGTCCATCTCGACATATATCGGATAGGGGCTGTCCGCAATCTTCAGATACGTGAGTGCTCTTTGCCTCGACATGAGTTCTGGTTACTTGCAAAACGGTCGTTTGCGGACATGCTCCTCTAAGGTAAAATCTTTTTCGAGACTGCAGGGGGATCTGCAACCGCCACCAGGGTGAGACAGTTGCAGACTCTGCGATCTCCATTCGAAAGGGCGGACAAAAGTCAGCAGTGGAGTCCAGAAAAGTCGGAGACCCCTCAGAAGAAAGAGCGGGGAGCTACAAACCCTAAAAGCTCCTACAGACTTGAGGCATTTGGCTGCTTTCCTCTTCTTTCATATTGTGACTCCAGCACAGGAGGGAGGCAAAAGTGAGAGCACCTCTGCTGTCCATGCCGACTCCGAGCTATCCGGCCGCCAAGGCGTGGCAAGGGCCATGTGCACTCAGAGCTGCAGTTCAAAGGCCCCCTGAGGCACCTTGGCATCCAAAAGAAAGGCTGCAGGAACCTTTGGAATCATGGCAGAGGACATTCAGATGTGCATATCTGAGTAAGCTCGAGACCCTAAAATATGCCCTAATCCCTGAACCTTGAATCCTAAACCTAAACTCTGTGTGCCGCAGTAGGCGCAAAAGGCTGCGACTCCAGATGCACACTAGTTGGCCGCAGCAATGGCCTTGCACCTGGCAGTCCAAGGCTGCAGATTTTCACTTTTTCTTTGTCTCACTAAGGCCACTCAAGGCTCTGTCAGATTCGATAAGGGTTCTAGAAGCGTTGCGTCAGGGTACTGTAAAGTTCTGTAAGGGTTCTGTAAGGGTCTTTTTGTGTCTAAAGATTCTGGGGGGGGTATTGCGTACTGGCTGTGGGTCTCGAGCCGTGCTTGTGCTCTCAATTTCTGGGCTGGCGACTGTACGGAACGCATCGGGGGGTTCTTGACAATCAGCTCAGAAGTGAATAGCATTATCACGAGGATCGCCCCACTTTGGATACTTACAGCCTACCTGTAGGCTCCGTGAGAGTCCTGTCTCGAAGTAGACCCCAACCGACATGGACAGAGTATAGGAGACATAGACGTAGACCCAGACATAGACATGGACACGGACAACGGCATAGACATGGAAATAGACATTGACACAGACATAGACATGGACACAAACTTTGACACATACCTATATCTCTATACATATATATATATATATATATATATCATATCGTAGCATATATACATATTTATATATATATATATATATATAGATATACGTATCCACACGACATACCCAAGAGTTTAAGTCCTTAAAGTTTCACGGTTCGTAGACTTCATTGTTTCGGGTGGTGGCGAAGGGCTTTGGCTTCTTGGTGCGGACGAAGTAACTTGTAAGTAGCTTAAAATCAGCTTTCCTATTTACAAGCACCCTATGCTACATGGCATGGTCCCAGTTACAACCCGATTCATAGCCGGGATCCTTTCAGTAGCCCCTACACCCTCAAACCTATGAATTCTAAGAAAACTTGCGGAGCCCTTCTGAAACCTCTTCTACTAGCCGTCATAATATGTAGCCCTTACTGGGGGTTTAGGGTTTTAGGGAAAATATTCGGAGCACTTCTTCAGACAGTCGCCGGCATCCAGATCCTGCAGACATGTGGATTGTTGTTTAGGGTTTAGGGTTCAGGGTTTACCCTTGTTTCGGGCTCACAAAGAGCACGGCTCCCTTGTACGAAAGACCGAAAAGGGGCCCTAATTTCGAGAACTACCCATGTCGCTAGAGCGCAATAGGAGTGTTGGGTTTGATAAGGTTTGATTTGTTGGGGTTTACACAAGAAAGGCGAATCATAGCAAAGGTGTTTTTGCAATGGATGGTCGTTGAGAATTTCTCGAAAGGTATGATTGTATTCGGGCGTGTTGCACCGGTCACATACTCATGGTTCGCCTCAACCCCCCCCCCAAAAAAAAAAAAAAAGACTCCACCGAAATCCTCAACTCCTACAGGCTTAACCGAAAGAAGTTTCTAGGGACCAGTTATGGAACTGCTTTGTTTGAGGGGACTTTCTTTTGATGTGAAGGAGCCTACCAACGCAAAACCCTAAACCCTAACGGCTCCTCCTCTTGAGGAAACCATCAAAGAGAACATTAACCAATCCTTCGAGGAAACTCCCTATCCGAGAAGAACCGAAAAACGGAACCTTTTCACGGAACTCCCGACCGTTTCAAGAACCAGGGGTCCTCCAGCATGTCAAAGACGGACTTCTTGCCGCCCTCGAACTCGAGAGCGGGATCTTCAAACCTTCGACAATCCCGGTAGACCGAGACTGTTAGGGCTCCGGGCTCAGGCTTTCGGTTTCAGGGATGTTGCTTTCAGGTTTTGGGCTTTGGTTTTCGCATGTACGCTTTCCAACGCAAAAATAATGGGCTTCGGCGATATGTATGGGACATGCAAAATGAACATGGGCCTGGAGGCCAAAACGGTGCCAACACCCAAAATCCAAAACACGCACGCCACTGAGGTGGGAGGAAGATTCACCAAGTTCAGCAACGCAAGAGTCATTGAATGCACGCCCCTATAAGCCCAGTATAACAGGCTCCAAAATCTTTTCACAGTTTATGCAAAACTGCATGAGCTTGGAAACCGCTACAAAACCCCAAACCCTTTCAAAGCCGCTTTCTCGCTGATCACGGCTAAGGTTTACAAATAAGGCAACTGCATTGATAGTTACAGGGAACTCCAATTTAAAGTACATACACAGCTATAACTGGGGTAACTATACCTATAACTACATATAACCCAATTAAGGTACCCGTAACCTTACCTACTAAGTCCCCTCAAAGTACCGGAAGGTCCCAGCCAGAAATTCCCAATCTCCGCAGTTTCCAAGCCTTGAGGCAGCGGAAACTCTCTATACCCCTTTTATAATATTTGTAATATGGGTGGTTGTCAAAAAATGGCCCCTTTTTGGGTACCCTAAATACTGGGTGCCGTATAAAGGGACCATAAGTTTGACAACCACCCATATCAATATCTCTTGGGCTTTGTATGAACTAAAATATAGCAGATTTCCTAAGGAGACTATAGATTCTGAGGCCCCGGCCACTTCTTTGCCGTCGGAACGTTGAGGCCGCTTGCCAGCAGGGCCTCTGCAACTGCTGGATGTTAGGTTCAAGGCTTCCGGCATGGTTTAGGGTTTGAAGTTTCAAGGTTGAAGCTTGGAATTATCCCCCTAAATATCCCTGTAATATCCCCTAAACAAGCCATGTAATACCTCAACAAGACCATGCAAAACCCGCCGAAACCCTGATCCCTAATCCCGTACAGTAACAACTGAAAGGAGCCCCTCAAAAAAGGAACCCCTGCATCCCAAAACCCTTGCAGTCACCCTCCTTCAAAGGGAACTCTCAACCCTCAGCCCTAAACCCAAAAAACCGAACCTCTGAAGGAACTTTTTCGGGAACCCCTAGAGGCCATACTTCGAGAGAGCCTTGCCGAAGGGATCCTTCGTCATGGACGCCCGGAGCCAGTTGCAGCGCTCTGCCAGCGCCTTCCCAGTTTCAGGGCTCGTGGCTTCTGGAGTTTAGGGCTTAGGGTTTAGGGCTTAGGGTTTAGGGTTTAGGGGTTTAGGGCTTCGGGTTTAGGGCTTAGGGTTTAGGGTTTCGGGTTTAGGGCTTAGGGCTTAGGGTTTAGGGGTTTAGGGTTTAGGGGTTTAGGGTTTAGGGTTTAGGGGTTTAGGGTTTAGGGTTTAGGGGTTCAGGGTGTGCTGTTTCGGACTGGGCTTAAGCTTCATAAGCGCTTCGTGGAGTTCAGAAGCATGCGGATGCAAGAGGGTTGTATCTGATCTATAAGGGGGGTAGGACTTTATGAGACACCATAGAATCCGAAACAAAGACACCCATCACACACCAGAAGGTCCTGAAAAGACCTGCAAAAACAAAAGGTTCGACTGCAGGATTAAGATTTACGGCTTAGGAACCCTGAAGCCTAAACCTAAAACCCGAAAGCTTAAACCCGAATACCTGAACCGTAACCCCTGCTTTTGGATATCGCAGGATTTCCAAACCCCACGCGAAGACCTCGAAAGGCGAGGCGGAGGCATGGACGCCGTTGTCTCCCGTGTCCGGCTGCGCCTATGTTGGGCTTTGGCTTTGGGGGTTTTAGGGTTTAGGGTTTAGGGCTTAGGGTTTAGGGTTTGAGGATTTAGGGTTCAGGGTTTGGGGTTTAGGGTTTGAGGTTTAGGGTTAAGGGTTTGCCAAAAACAGAAAAGCAATCTATCCCTTACAAAAGGGCCCTAGTAGAGAAACCTGGAGGGGACCCTGTTATAAAACCCGACAGGGCCCTTTGACCCGATTCTAGAACGTGATAGCACCCTTAACAGCAACTCCAGCCATAAACGGGGCCCCATTATAGAACTCTACGGTACCCTAAACCCTACGGTACCCTTTGAAGCGAACCCGATTCGCCCTTCACAGGAACTCCAGTCCATGCCCGCCTTCAGCCCGAGGTCGCTCCAGTCCTCGCAGGGCAGACAAGAAGTTTAGAAGGGTTCTATCTTTACTATCACTACTATTGAGTATTATCACTATCTTTACGAATATTACTAACACTAATTCTTATATTAGGCTTGTAAAATCCTATAAGGGTTGTAGAAGGGTTTGCAGAGTTTGGGGTTTAAGGCAGCTTAAGACTTACAAGGGCTGACACGGGTTGCTGGGGTTTGGGAAGACGGATGTGGCAGGGTTTTGCGGCATTACGGCATGGCCTTTCATTCGACGCAGCTGCTGTGCTTTTGTTGGCGGCTAAAGGGAACTCCAGAAAGTTGGAATATGATTTCAGGGTAGGATACCTTATAATTTACCGTAAAGGGTTTAGGATAATCATATTCCAACTTTCTGGCTTTTTACCTTAAGGTGTACAAAGTCGGCTCCGAACTGGGCAACGCAGTGGGCACGAAAGCTCAAGAGACTCCCGCGCCGCCGCCCATCACAGCTGGCATTTTTAATTCCTCAAAGCCCCAACACCCTATCCAATTGTGCCCTTAACCCACAAACCTAGAAGCCCTGCAAACCCGAAACGATCAGCCCCCACTGAAGAATACAACAAAACGGCTGATTATCCCTCGGCCTGATTCTATGCCAACAAAGAAAGCAACAAACAAACTAACATGTATTTGTAAGGACATCCAGAACAAAACCTGAAGGGGAACCCTTAAAGGAAGCCTCCACACGCCTCCCTTCAAGGCAGCCAGTCACGAATTGAACAGGAAGCCTTAAGGAAAACCCCGAACAGCCCTAAACCCCAAACCCAAAACTGCTCTCCTTGTAGATGAGGCCACGCAGGGAGCCGGCAGGGGCCGCAGCCGGGTCCGTAGGGCCGAGGAACTTGCCTTTCAAACGGATTTAGGGAAAAACTGCTGGTTTAGGGTGTAGGGTTTTGTATGTTTTGAATGTTCTATCGTTCATTCAAGTCTTTGTGGTTTGGATAGGATTTGGGGGTGCTTGTGTGTTATGGATTTACGGCTCTAGGTTCCGGAGCTGTGGGGCAATACGGTAAAGTTTCGGAGTTGAGAGTTTGCCGGCACCAGATTTCAAGAACCCCCGGATCTGTCACCCCCCAGGGACCCCCCATGGCCCCAGAGCTGCACCCGCCTCGGAAGTCCTCCCACTTCATCTTGTCCGCCGGCCACTCCACCTGGTTGTCTCTTGAAATCAGAGCCCAGAAGGCTTCTAGGGGGCCTTATAATGAGGTTTAGGGCTGGAGGTTTTTTGAGAGACTTAAAGGGTTAGTGACGCTTCGGTTGTGCATCATAGCATTTCATGAAGATGTTCCAGACTCCATCTCTGCTTTAGGCGTTACCTTCTTCAGACCTTCTTGCAAAAAGGATTCGAGGTCCCCTGCTGCCTGAAACTCCCGCAACAGGAGCCCTGCAAAGTAGGGGTTTGATCACCCGGGGGGCCTCGACAGTCAGGACCAGGGTCGCGGGGGATGTTACGCTGCAAACATATCGTGTCAGGGACTATAAACGTGTACTATTACTACACATTCCGACCCACCGAACCCTCTAAACGGGCCCTGTCTATACAGGATTGCTGGCAGTGGAACCACAGTCTTCGCTGCATCTACTCTCACGAAGGTCACGCGGCGCAAAGCTCACAACAAAGGTCTGCTTCGGCGAACGGCAATGCTTCCCCGCCTCGTAGTAGTAGATGCTTGTTCCGGGCGCGGTGAACTTGGAGCGCATGTTCATGTAGAAGCCGTTGATGACATAGATGCTGTCAACCTGCTTGCGGTTGAGGGCTCAGGAAGTCAGGCGTTCAGGTGTGAGATTTGTCAATCTGGGAGCTTGTGGGCTGGACGAGTTCATCCGTTTCGGCGTGTCTGATCGTTCCCATGAGAATCCTGAAAACACCATCGCGACGACCATCAACAGCATCACTGTTTTCATCATTATCATTACCATCATCATTCGTCATCTATCATTATCATCATCTTCGTCATCATCATCCAGCCGCAGCAACAGCAACAAAACAAGTCGTCATCATCATCAACGCCAACCTTGTCATCTTTCATCATAACCATCAGCAGCAGCCATCAGCACCACTATCATGATCCCTGCGCTCCTCCTCATCATCATCATCATCGTTATCATCGTCATCACCATCATCAGTAGCGCAAGCAACAGGATCGTGATCCGAGCGTCACCACCATCATCATCAACAGCACCAGACCAGAGAAGGGTTACAAAACATCCGATCTACACAAGTGCGACAACCTTGTGTTCTGACGCCGGGTTCAGGCCTTGCCGCAGTAGAAGCCGCCGCCGAACCTCAGAAACGAGATCCTTCTACACTTGGGGCTCCGACCCAGATCTTGATCTGGGCGTTTAGGTATGGTTTAGGGTTTTCCTAGACTCAATACCTTATGCTCGGCTTCGTCTGCTCGTGCCTGTCAACCGAAGCGTCCATCACCACCGACAGAATCACCAGCAATAACTTCATTGCTCCATTTACACATGGACACCTTCACGACCCTAAACCCTGAACCCTAAACCCCAACCCCAAATCCTACGTACTAAACACGAGACCCTAAACCCCAAACCCCAGCTCCTAAACCCTGAGCACTCCACCCAAAGCCCTTGTACCCCAAACCCTGAGACTGAGGCTTGATGATGGTCTCGCCCTTCTTGAGCGCATCGTACTTCTTGCCCAGCTCCTGGGCGTGAATTTCGCAAACTTCGGAACTCTACTGAAAGGACTCTTGGAGGGCTTCGAACACTCGGCAGGTGGCTTAAGGCGCCGAGCTTGCTATTCCAAGTAGTCTACGGGCCAGGAACCAGTTTTGACGTGAAGGAGGGTCGCTCGGCGCTCTTGTAGAGTTCTTGGCTGTTCACGAACCCTAAACCCTAGACCCTAAACCCTGAACCCTAAAAACCCGAACACCCCAAACTCCGATCCGCTGCAGGCCCGGGTTTGGTGGACGAAACACATCAGAGCCGCGAAGTTTGAAAGCTCCCAAGCTTCAGCCAAAATTCTCTGATAGCAGTGGTGGTGGTAGTGGTAGTGGCTGTGGCTGTGGCAGTGGCAGTGGCAGTGGCAGCAGCAGCAGCAGCAGCACTACTACTACTACTACTACTACTACTACTACTACTACTACTACTACTACGACTACGACTACGACTACGACTACGACTACGACTACTACTGCGAGTGGAGGCCTGAAGCTGAAAATGCCCCTACTCAATGATAAGGATAATGATGATGATGGTGATGGTGATGATGGTGACAGTTATGTTCTTGTGATGGCGATGCTCATGTCGCCATCACCACCATCATCATCAATGCCCCTGGCAATCACGACCGGGGGGGAGTCTTAAAGGCTGCCGTGCCACATCGGGGCTGATTCCCAGCTTCTTGGCTCCGTCCATGGCGTTGAAGACCAGGCCCTAGGAACGACAGGTAGAGTTTGGGGCTCTTGGATTCAGTTTTTTGTGAGGGCTTTGCGGCTGGTGGATTACAGTCGGAGGCTTAGGTCCCTCCGGCTTCAAGGGCTTAAGAGATTCGAGGTTTAGACGTATTTTTCTCAGGCTAAACTTCGGATTTAGTATTTTGCTCAACAAACGACTCCCTCCTCCGATCACAAGGCAGAACAACGATCAGCAGCTACAAGCCCCCTCGGCATCTGGCATCTTCCATCACCTTGCTCCATGCCACGCCGAACCTCGAATGTGAACCGCATGTCGTGTGGGATCCAGTGCAGCGATTGCATCCATTGCTCTGAGAATTAATTGCTGCACGAGACCTCCTCCTTCGAGGTACACCGCACAAAACTCCAAACCTTTCATCCCATCTAGACCATGACTTTGTCAGGGATTCACCAAGTGTGGAGACGACGTTCCCGTGTATCAGGCGGTGTTCAGGGGGGCCTGCACGGGGTCTGTATGAAGTCGCATGGGTCAAACAGGATGTTCTAGCCAGGCGGCTGCTTCTCGAACTCCGCCTGAGCCTTGTCCTTTCAGCTGATAAAACATGTAGGATTGAGGGTTTAGGGTTCAAGTTTTAGGGAGTTTAGGGTTTAACTTTAGCTTGTTGGGGCTTCGGGTGAAGCTTAGGCTGTTGGCATCAATGCCAACTTACTGCCCTGCGGAACCCAACCGTGACTCCACTTCATAGATCTCCCAAAACTCTCCTTCCTTTCCTAAGAACCCCAAACCGGGAACGCCTCAACCCTGTCGTTCAGGGTTTAGGGTCTGGCTTGCCTTATCCACCGGAATGGGCAGAATAGAGAGGCGTTCATGATAAGAATAGACTTTTGGGGTGTCGACGTACATAATGACTAGAAGGGGATACGATTACTAAATATTTAGACCCTTACAGGCCTTACAGGGCTTGAGAACACATCTCCACGAACGGCGACAGCTTTTCAACCTCGGTGTTAGACCGGAAGCCCCTACATGTTTGGGTTTACGGTTCTGCATTTTCAGCTGTATAAGGGCCACATTCCTAAACTCTTCAGCCCTAAACCAAACTGCTTTCAGCAAACCGTCTTGACTGCTCCCGGATTTCCTGAACCGTGAGCTCCGACGGCTTCTTCATGACAGCCTGCCAAAGATTGGGTACTGCACTACAGGGGTTCGGGTGTGACAAGGGTTCAAACGCAGGGTTTCAAGAAGGGTTATGAGGGGCTTTTTTAGTTTTATAGGATCTCAGATGGGCGCTAAGGGCTTCATTGTCAGGGGTTAGGGATACTGACTTCGGCGTTTCGGGTTTATGGCCAAGGATTTTGTGCAAGGGTTTTATGATCCCTGAATTCTGAAAGTGGTAATGGTAGATAGTGGCAGTGCTGGTGGTAGCTGTCGCAGTCGTCCGGAATCTCTGCAAGTGCACCTCATAGCAAGGTCATCTGGTACCATAACATACTAGAATCAAAACTACAATATGCTACACGATGCTTTAATATAGTAGTTATGTATCTGAAGCGGTGGCCAGCGATTTACCAAAACACAAAACTTAGCACACAAGACGCCCTTCGTGAGCCCTACAAGCGCGGCTGTGCCCCAAAGCTGAAACACTAACAACCCCTCATCCCAGGAAACTCCATACTGATATGCTATAATATTCTCAACATCTTTTCATGTCCGATAATATATCATATACTATGATATGCTTTGCTGTACTATACTGTAACAACAATGCATCCGAAGCCCTTCATCCACCTTGGCGGCGATGGCGCCGTAGTGGATGTCGATGAGCTTCTTCTTGTCGATGACTTCGGCCTGGCCAAGACGCTGCACCGAAGTGTTGCTGTAAGGGTCGCCATAAGGATTCCTGAAAGGGCTTCCTGTGGCCAAAAGGTTTCATGCTAGATTTGTTCTATTTGCATAGGATTCAGCGTCGTCGGTTTTGAATTTAAGGCTGAAGATTAGCGGCGCAAGATTCAGGGTTAGAGGAACTAGGACATCGGGTTGGCCCCCACAGATCCCTACATCCTAAACCCTAATTACAGCAACCGTCCAGCACCCGAAACCCTGGACTCTGGGCCTTGATGGCCCCCTCGCTCTTGATGGTCAGGCCGCCTTCCGTGAGCTTGTCCTGCAGACGTCGGGGGTCTCTGCGAGGTGCTGACCAGTACGTGCGGAGACCTCCTACATTCCGAATCCTACACGGGAGTCTCCGAAAATAGGGGACCCTAATATAGTACCCTAAAAAGTAGGATGCCTAGTACAAGGACCCCAGAATACGGTACCCCTACTTCTCGGAAACTCCCACATCCCGACAGCACTGCTTGAAGATGCTAAGACAGCCAGCTCCACGGGATGATAACGCCCAAAGCTGAGGCAAACCTGAACTGAGTTTCTTTGGGCTACATTCTGAGGACCATAAACATGAGCGAGCCCTCGAATATGGGCAAGGTCATATTATGGGAGTTTCCGAAAATTGGGGGGTACCTTATTTTGGAGTCGTTATAATGAGGATCCTGCTATTTAGGGTGCTATATGAGGGTCCCCTATCTTCGGAAACTCCCACAAGGGGTCACCTGACAGGAATTCCGGGCTTCCCGTCCTTCACGAGAGTCTGCACCTTGTCGGTCCTCAAATTGCAGCGATTCCAACATGCGGCAGGCTTAAGGCTGGCTGGTACCTCGAAACCTCCAAGTCTCCAAAGGACCCAAAAAAAAACCGGATTCCTGAAGTCTACGTCTTGTGCGGCAGCAAGCAGAACCCTTGAGGATGACGGTATGAGAAACAATCGAGGGAGGGGTTCGTGAGTAGCGACCTTGGATGCCAGGTTCGTATCCCTGGCACTTTGAAGCTGTCTTCTAGCTAGACCAAAGCCCTGAAATGCCCACAACCCAAACCCGAAAACCCGGAAACCCCAAATCCTGAAAATCCCAGGGCACACCAACTGCCGCCACGGCTACACAGCATGGGGCTTGATGAACACGAAGGCTGTGTGCGTCTTCGCGCCGGCCTCCAACAGGTAATGTCATAATTCGGATAAGGTTTTGGGGCATGATATGCAACTGTTAAACCAATAAGAGGCAACGAACCCTGAGGAATGATATTTGTAAATATGAAGGCTTCTAAAGTGGCTTTTGGACTTGGGGGGCCTCTTGAAAACAGAGTCTCGACATACAGCTTGATAGGCTCCGCTCGTTGCCTACCCTCACGGAAGCACTATGGGGATGGCGAGGCACCCCGCCGTGGTGGGCGGTCTCTGGCTCTGGGTTGATGGGCGCCCCTGGCTTTTGCGTCGTGGCCCCGGAGCCTTTTCCGGGACCTGGGGCAAGACAGGTCCTGCCTTTTCGCCATGCCCGGCCCTGCTTACGGTCTATGCTAGTGTCCACTATTGTCTGGAAGTCTCGCTCGTTCTTCAAAAGCTGACAGATTTTGGATGTTGGGAAGCTTAGGGATGCACGTGTCGATGCTTCGGGCTTGAGGCGTGGTTTGCGTTCGTTCCCGCTGACCCGTTTCGGAAGTCAGGGCACCTTCGATTCCCCGCGACACCCGGAAGATTTAGGCTTTAGGGTTTTGGGTTTAGGGTGTAGGGCTGCCTCCACGATCTCAGCGTTCAGGCACTCCCCGGTGGTCTTCATGATGATGTTGGTGACCTTGCGAAAACTCTAACCGCGCATAGTTTCGGTTGCTGCTCCTGCAGTCCAAAAGAGAGTAAGCATGAGTTGAAATCTACCGACTGTGGGGTAAATTTCTGTAACCTCGACAGAAACGGGTAAACACGGACATTGATGTTCCAATAGTTGTCCAAGTAGCCCGAGACACACTCGCAGGCATAAGAGCACAATCGTTACGATGATGACCGGTCGGAATACGTATTTCAAGAACAATACCCTCGCAAGCCCTGCACCCGACACCCGCGCAAGGCCCCAAAAGCGTGAATTTGCCACCAAGCCAGAAAACAGAAGCCCACAACAAAGACCGTCAAATCCCACACAATGCACAATCACTCCCCCCATGCCGCATGCCCCTAAAGTTCCCAGCACCCTTGGACGGCGCCCCAAAATCCGAAAACACCCTCAAACCCGAAACCACAAACTCCAGAAATCACTATTAAAAAAAAGCCCTAGTAAACCCCCTAAACCCCTAAACCCGTAGAAACCCCTAAACCCCTAAAACCTCCGAGTGAAGGCCAACCGAGGCTTCCTGGTTCTTGGGGCCAAGAGGCCCGGTAAGGGTCGCAGTTGGCCGCAGGGCGGCGGTCCTCCATGTATCCACGGCCAGCCTGGCTTTAGGGCCTTTTGGGGTTGAGGGTTTAGGGCTTAGGGCCTTTTCGGGTTTAGGGTTTAGGCTTGGGACTTACATAGGGTCTTAGGGTGTTTCGTACCCACGGCCAGCCTTTTTGGGTGGTCTTCGGGTTTCGGGTTTAAGGACTTTAGGGTTTCTAAGGTATCCACGGCCAGCCTTTTCGGAGCAGCCTTGGTGCTTTAAACTATTCGGGTTTCGTAATAGCGGCCAGCCTCGTGTTGGGGTCGTCTTAGGGTTTCGGCCTCGGGTTTCAGGACTTCAGGGTCTTATTTCAGGTTACTAAGGCCAGCCGGGGTTTGTGGGCTTTGGGCTTAGTGCTCAGGGTTTAGGGTGTCCCGGTGTTCGGGCATTAGGGCTCTAGGGTTTTGGTGTAGGTTCCTTCGGGGCCTTCCCTCGTCTGTATCTTGCAGCCATGAGGATCTAGGGTTTAAGGTTTCTTTCTGACACATGTTGGGATAGCCGTTTAGGGTTTTCCTTTCGGGTTTGGGGTTCTAGGGTTCAGGTTTTGGGTTCTTTGGGTTCTCAAGTTTAAAGAGTTTAGGGTGTTGGGCTTACGGCTATTGGTTTATGGGAGTCCTTGGGATGTCTTTGGGCTTTCCTGAGGTTGCCTCCGGGCTTTGTTTGCAGTTTTGGGTCCAAGGTTTCAAGGCCCCAGAAGGAAAGCTATCACTTTTCAGCAAAGTGTTTTTGTGCAGTGAGATGCAAGTTTCACGTTAATTCTCAAAGTACCCAGGCTCCACGATCATAGCAGTTACAATCATGCCACCATCAAAATTGGGACAACAAGGACATCATCACCGCCACCGACGAGGACGGCAACCACAACGAGGACGACCATCGCTAGTCTTCTCACTTCTCCCCAACATGCTTCCTCATACCAAGTCATGATTTCTACAATTTCTCCAGTCCCGGCTACGTCGAAACTGAGAGATGCACGGCATATTACAACGGGGTTGAACGATCAGCGGAAAATAAATTAGAGCTCTATGAAGTGACAAATAACATACCCCGAGTCCCTTCATGATACTTTGCGTGAGCGAGCGAGTGATTAGATTTCGAGGCACTTCTCTTAGGAGCTAGACTGAATGGGATTATCGTCAGCATCCCCGGATTTATTAGGTACTTGCACATCCGAATAGGCCTATTAACACCTCATGCAAACTCCTAGGGAACCCTATGAAACCCTAAACCCTAAGCACGGAGACACGCTGCGCCTTCTCGGCATCGCGGGGAATGCGGATGGAAGCACCGCGGTTGGCGACCCCGTACCTAGTCAATGGTTGATAAAGCTTTTGTATAAGGGCTCTAGACGAAAACTGATGGACTTGACAGATGGATGCACTGGATGTCTTAACACTCGTGGTCCCGTATTCATGGGTCCGACAACAGGGGCTTCTGGGGCTTTTAAGATCTCTAAGCCCTTTGGGGTTCAAGGTCTGAGGCTTGGGGGTATCAGAAGCTACAGTAGACCTGCTCTCCCCCTTCAACATCCACTAATTTGCATCTAAAATCACCCGCGTCTGCACACATGTGTCGCCTTCACGGCTAAGACCCGTCCTTCAGGAGCAAACTTGTCATAGCGAAGGCCGCTGTTGGTACCATCTCTGAGATCCTACCCCGAGGTCGGCCCGAGCCGCTTGAAGGTGTTGATGTCGCAGGTCTCGTGCTTTCCAGTGAGGCGCTTGTCGTTGCCCTCACCTCGGCAACGAGCCAAGCATGGCTCCTGCTGGGGGTTAGTGGTTGGGGGTCTGTGTTGTGGGTTTGGGTTATAAGCAAGGTTATAATCAGGACAACCACAAGCTAGGACTCTTCTAACGCCAAAAGACCTACTGACCTACTGACAACGGGACGAGTAGTAATAGAAGAAGCCAGCGAAAAACACACCGTGCAAGCTAACGTCCGCCGATCCCTTAGATTGTCGCTGCTGCAGTTGCAACATGATCTCCATACGTGCATTCTTATTGAGCCTGGTTACCATGAACAGCGTGCAAAGTGACAATATGCGCAGCATCAGTCAATGTTACTACTTGTCATTGCTTATATATTTGATGCCCTCCTCGCAGGGACCCAAACGAAGAACCCACCCCCCTATAAAAGCTGCATACAGCCATTGTAAAACGCCACAAAACCCCGGACAGACCGCTGCATGCTCTCAGACGACCCTCAACGAGGAAAAGCTACATTCAAGAGATCTACCTTAAAAGAGACCCTAGCTGGGGTTACGATACTTCTAAGTCTATAAGATAAGTACCTGCAAACTCCAGGCCCTGTTCCTTAAACCCTTAACCCCAGGCACTCAGCCTGTTGATGCCCGAGCTGCCGTACTCGGCAATGTGCTCCTTGGCGACCTTGCCGAAAGCCTCGGAGTCCAAAGGTTTTAGGGCGCGGTCTTATGGGAGTTTCCAAAAATTAGGGGTACCTTATTTTGGGGTCCTGATAATAAGGATAGGGTATTATATTAGGGTGCCCTCTTTTCGGAAACTCCCTTATGGGGCTTGTGAAAGAAGGGGGTGGCATCAGGGGCATTAGGGCTTCGGAACTTTGGGTTTCGGGGTTGAGACATGGTGGGCCTTCAGACTTTTCTCAAGGGTAAAAGGAGGGACCCTTAATGAGGACCCTTAGGTTTTTCCCCATAATATAGCTATTATATACCCATTATATGATAAAGGTGCCCCAAAAAGGGTCCCTCCTTTTCCCCTTTGAAGCTTCGGAGCTCTTCGCAGATCCGAGCAGCCTCGCAGACCTTGATGATGGTGTCGTAGCCACCCGGGCTCCGCATGGGGGTCACGGAGAAGTTCCTCAGCTTACTTGGAGGATCATGGGACTTAGTAGCTTCGGGTTATAAATAGGGTAACTATAGTTATAATTACTTAGTAGCTTGGGTTTGTAGATCAGGTAACTGCAGATAGAAGTGCTGCAAACTCCAATTAGGATACTTGAAACTTTAAGTACCATATATTATAATATTCTATGATATTCTATGATATACTATAAAGTCTCATGATCCTCTAAAGGTCTGGGGTTGAAGGTTCGGGGTTTAAGCAGCTCGGCCTTCGGGGCTTTGGAGATCCGGGCTTTTTGGTTTCAGAAGTTCGGGGTCTTGAGTTCTAGGTCGGGTTTAGGGTTGAGTTTAGGGTTGAGTTCAGGGTTTAGTTTAGGGAGTTTAGGGAGTTTAGGGTTGAGTTCTGGTGTCAGGCTTTGGAGGTTCAGGCTTGCCGATTCAGAAGTGAAAGGTTCTGGGCTCTGGGTTTGAGAAGACGCAATAGATGCATCCTGCACCGTTTGCGACCGTGCCATAAAACTCATTGGAGCAGTTAGAATGAAAGAACAGATACTACCTTTAGTTGCTGCCAATTCTTGTTGCTACTCCCATAACAGGCACAAGGTCAGAGTCATCATCAAATCAGTACAGCCGCAGTCATAATGCTCGCGATCGTACGGATGACAATAGCTCACATGAGCTGAACCGGTACAGTACATTGACAACACAACGAACAAAACCTGTGCACCAGCATTGACCGGAGCACTCGTCACCCCCACCACCACCCACAACAGCAGCAAAACCCCGCCGGGAGTCGTGTGGCAGCCAGCACCGTTCCAGTCACCCTCCTTCGAAGGAGTTCAAGCGGCCTACACCCGAAAGCTTTTGAAAAAACTTTGACCCTCAACTTCAACACCTTTGAACCTAAAAACACAAAACCCTCAACCAAACACCATTAAACTCTGGCACCTGATGCTTGAAACTCGGGGACCCTCCTTTATCCAAAGCCGCACCAGCCCTTCCGACCTCCCCCTTCTGGAGCCCCGAAACTCAAAGGGGAAAAGGAGGGACCCTATAATGGCCTATATAATGGGTATATAATGGCTATATTAAGGGTATATACCTAGGGGTCAATATTAAGGGTCCCTCCTTTTGCCCTTGGAGAAACTCCATTCCAGGAATACCCCAAGGCCCAAGCCCTAAGAAACCTTCAGGGTTTGGGTTGAGGGCTTAGGGTCCAAATACCTGTGGACCACAAAACACTAGAAGCCCTCTTCTTCCCTAAATCCCGGTAACCTTAAACCCTCCCGCAGATCAACTCAGCCTAGTCGTCCAGTATCATAATTAGGGGAGCTAAAGGCTAACATTCGGGAACGTATGGGGATTATAGTACCCCAAGAAAAAGTGAAAGGATACCTACTCTGCTACTAGGTTAGTCTAATGTAGGGGCCTTCATTAACTAGAATCAGGTGTTGGGGCTTCCTGGCTGTATTTATAGCATAATATACCCCAAACCGTATTCTAACTATTTAAACCCCCATAATTCGCCTATCGTAATCCTTATAGACCCCCTTTAAAAGGAACCCTGTTACAGGAGCCCTATTCTAATGACTAAGGCCCCTATATAGGACTGTCTCTCCGAAGCTTTCAGCAGGTCCTTGGGCTTCGGGTCGAAGGAGCAGACGCAGTCGTGCTTCTCGGTGACGCGCAGCATGATGTATCCTGGCTTAGGGGTCATGTTCGGGGGAGTTCAGGGTTTAGGATGTATCCTGGCTTAGGGTCATTTAGAAGTTTAGGGGTTCAGGGGGGATCAGGGATGTTCGGGGGGGGATCAGGGATTAGAAGTTTAGGGGTTCAAGGGGGGGATCAGGGATGAGGAGTTTAGGGTTTAGGATGTATCCTGGCTTAGAATTTAGGGTTGAGGGGTTTTAAAAGTTTAGGGGTTTAGGGTTAAGGGGGGATCAGGGATCAGGAGTTTAGGGCTTAGGATGTATCCTGACTTGCAGTTTCGCGCTTAGGGGCTTAAAGGCTTTTGGGTTTGGGGTTAGGGTTTGGGTGAAAAGCGGGCTTAGAAGTTTAGGTGCTTTGAGAGGATCAGGGTTTAGGAGCCTAGTGCTTTAGAGGCCGTCCGGATCTTGGGTTCGAGGTACCCATCGCCCACACCCGAAAAAGGGAAAGATGGGCCCCTACTACGGGCCTCTACTTGGAGGATCATGGGACTTATAGTAATTGGGGTTATGAATAAGGCAACTATAGTGGTGATTACTTATAACCTCAGTTAGGGTGCTCAGACCTTACTGACAGAGCCCCCTGATCCTCCGAGCAGCCCTATTTTAAGGGACCTACAGGGTACATATAGGACCTGTAAGAGGTATATGAAGATCCCGATTGCCAGTGGCGGCAAGAGAAGTGATTCTCATGATGGATGTATAAAACCTAAACCCGAAGCCCTGTACAACCCTTATCATGAATAAAGAGCCCTTACAGGGACCCCGTTCTAGGACTGTTGCAGAATCATCTACTTTTCGTAGGGCCCTCATGAAGAAAGAAGACCTATTGAGGCACGGACGGGACATGGTCAGGTGGTCGCCCATCTCGATGCCACGGCACGGTCCGACCTGCAGGGAGGCTACCCTCATAGACCTTATAAGATCTCAATAAGAAGACATTAAAAACCCGATAAGGATTCCTATGAGGAAGCGGGTTTAGGGTTGAGTCATAATCATGAGTAGAGTGGTGTTTCAGTGTGTCTTGCAGTTTAAGCATAACCAAGACTTGTAAGGAACCGTATTGGCAACATTTCGGGCTTGAAGACTACCCTAAACCCTAAACCCGAAACCCTTAGACTGAGGGTTCAGGGTTGCTTACGGTTCTCAGAAGGGTTCCATGGCTTTGGCGGTTTCCAGTCCACGAAGGCTCTGCGGCCTGAGCTTTAGGGTTGAGGAGCTTCGGGTACTAAGCTTTCGCATGTAGGCTTTTGGATGTTAGGTTTTGGGGTTTACGATCTCTATTATATATGTATATATATATACATATGTATATACATATATACAGAGAAAATATGTATATATATATATATGTATATATATATAGATATATATATAAACATATGTACAAATAAGCTTTGGAGTTGCGGCCCAGGGTTGTGCGCTTGATGTGGTTACACGGCGTCACAGAATGCACACTCCCACTTTGCAAGGTACTTGCAGCTGTAGCTTCCGAAGATTGCATAATATTTTCCGCGGGCCTTCTAAGCTTATACCTTTGGATCACAACTCTGAGCCCATTGTCGTTTCACCATTGAGCTATAGTTTGCTGAACGGGTTGAAACCAGGGGCTTTCTAACAACACTGCATGAATGATGTGGGTAGTTGTCAACATTAGGCTCCATTTTTGGGTCCTTATTATAATACGGCACCTACTGTTTAGGGTACCCAAAACGAGATCCTAAATTTGACAAGCATCCATGTATGTTCCCTAGTTTGGTTGTGTGAGGGGCCCAGGCTCCCAGTGTTCGGAGCCCTCGGGCCCTGCTTTGCTGGGTGTCTGTCAGTAGTTTGCAAGACCAAGGAAGGGACTTAGGAAGTAAGTCTGTAAGTACTCTGTATAAGTTATGATAACCGTTGTAAGTTATAATAACCTTTATAAGTTATAATAAGTGTAGTTGCCCTAGCTGTAGCCCCAGTTGGTAAGTCCCATGATCCTCCAAGTAGAGCTTCAGGATGTGGGATACAACTCTTGGGGCTCCGCGCTTCGCGGGGGGGTTTTGCTTCTTCTTGTGTTGGCCTAAACCCAAAGCCCCAAACCCCTAGACTCTAGCTGCGTTTGGGGTTTAAAGGGTCGGGCTTCATATAGAAACCTTGACGCGACATGTTGCAAAAACCGTAAACCCGAAAACCCGCACTGCCGCAGCCGGAAGGTTCAAGCGTAAGCCACGCGACTAGTTTGGAGGCCTCAATCATACGTCTGGAACCTAAGCATAATGAAATCTTGATGATGCAAAAAACGGAGTGCCTGGAATTCCCACTGTCCCGGCATGACCTGTGCAGCGCATCAGTTGGTTTGAGCCGATAGGGATTCGGCTAGATCCACCGAGGTGGGTAGAATTCGCTTCTTGCGTATGGGGGGCGCTTGCGATTTCGGGTTTGTGGGGTTGATGCAGACGGTGGGGTCGAGTTGTCTTGGTTTCATGTCTTACTTGTCTTCGGGTCCCTCTTCTTTTAACTCTTATCGCACTCTGCCACAAAATGTGATTGAGGGCTTCAGCTTGATGATATTGGCAAACCTAAGCCCCAAACCATAAGTCCGAAATCCTAAACCCATAACCCCCAATCCAAACCCCGAACACCTTAAACCGTGTCTTCTGCTGGCCTCAGCGTTGATGCCCGAGATCTTGACGCCGGCCTCCCAACAAGAGCCGAAGCAAAGAGGGCCTCTTTTGTTAGGAAACGGTTTTGGGATACGTTACACGGGAATGAAAGCAGGAGCTGCCACGAACATTATATCAAATTATGTTGGCTTCTACATCAGGTTTCGTTCAAAAGGCTTCCTGGCCTAAGGGAATCCGAGCCTTTGTTGGGTGCTTCATTCGAGTTTTCTTTGTTAGGTCCTTGACAGTGTCCTCTACGATCAGACCGTGTTGAAACAAAGATGTGCGACGCACTGCCCCCCCAAATGAAGCTTGGCTCAGTCCGGATACAAGGGGTTAATATACGGGCCTTAATGATTAGAATAGGGTTTTGGGGCCCTGTATATTTTAATTATGATAAGGAACCCCCAAAATGCTAGAGGTAATTATTAAGGCCCCCGTAGTATTGGCGGATGTCTGGCGGGGTCCTGCCGTGCTGGTCTTTGCAGTTCTTTTCGGCACCAACTTCCGCCAGGAAACGTGCAACCTCGAACTGACCGCTCTTAATTGCGAGCATAAGGGCTGTCCAGTTGGATCCACGTTGGCGATTTGTAAAAGTACCAACTTCCAGCAGCTATCGCGCAATCTGCCAATGGCCATTCTCACCTGCGTGGATAGTGTCGTCGCAATGCTTCATGGCACCACTTCCAGCAGGAAATGTGCTACCTCCGAGTGACCACCATGGGATGCAAACATCCGAGCCGTCATGCCGCTCAGGTCTCTGATATCCTTGCTGGCGCCAGCTTCCACCAGCAAACGTGCAATCTCCAAGTGACCGTTCGTAGCTGCGTGCATTAGTGACGTCCTGCCAAACCGATCCGCCTTGTCCTTTGCAGCACCAGCTTCCACCAGCAAACGTGCAACCTCCAACTGGCCATTATAAGATGCAGACATCAGGGCCGTCATGCCGGACCAGTCTATGCGATCCTTTTCAGCACCAGCTTCCAGCAAGCATCGCACGGTGAGGACATCATTCCCTGCAGCAGCATCCGCCAGATCTCTGGCAGCTGCAACTTTGAAATGTCGAGGCTGGTTGGATATGGTCAACAGCACTAGCTGCAAATCCATCTCTCCAATCAGCTTCTCATCGTCAGGTAAGAGCCTGCCGCCATGCACAAGTTGCTGCAAATACACCGGGAAGCCACACTGCTCACACACGTTCTTCTTCACAGAGCCTGCGTCCGTGAACACCTGCACGCTTATGGCGGCCAGCTCTTGCCCAGACGGACTCCAAACACGAAGCATTGCCGAAGGCGCGGGTGCAACATTCCCAGAGTTCAAGGGTTTAGGGTTTAGGGTTCCGGTTTAAGGGATATTACATAATTATATATATATATATATATGTATGTATACATGTGTGTGTATGTATGTATGTCTGTATACGTATACATACATATACATGGGTTAGTATTGAATGGTTTGGGAGCATTCTGAGAAAAGCTTGCTTTCTGACGGCTATGGGGGAGTTGCTGCGCCACTGCTAATCCAGCAGTCTTGCATTCTTTGACCCGTGGAAAAGCCTTCGGACAGCCAGGATACGGTCTTGTGCTTGCTGGTTGGCTTTAGGGGTCAAAGGCTTAGCGTTTAGGAGGGGTGGGCGTTTGTGGTTGGGGGGTTGAGGGTTTGGGTTCTAGGATGTCATTACGACCTTAGGGCTTTAAAATTAGGACTTTCGGGTAAGGGCTGGAGGTTTCAGGGCTTCGGAGAAGTGCCAGAGATCTGCCTCCATGCACATCTTGTAGTGCTCATCCGCCACAGGCCGGCCGATGGCAACGTTGTAGCCCGCACCTAGAGGCTGGCTTAAGGGTTCAGGGTTTGGGGTTCAGGGATTAAGCTTTAGGGTTTAGGGGTTAGGGTTTAGGGTTCAGGGTTTAGGGTTTAGGAGGGTTTCGGGCGTCGACTTCGGGAGTTTGCCGCGGTTTACGGCAGCAGGCCCGCGAACTAGACTACATAAACTTCGCGGCCCCCTTCCATGCTTCTAGGAAACGCAGCGATGAAGTCCACTGAGCTGTAAATTGTCGAATGTTCACGGAAAGCATATCAAGCATATCCGTGCACGCACCATCGACACTGAATTGAGTAGAAGCGCGCTCAGTTTACAAATCTTGCATGAACCTCGCAACTCCAAATCTACTTTAGAATATGTCCTGAAACCCTGAACCGCTTGAACACAAGCACAAAACCGAACCACAAAATGACAGCCACGGCTGTGCCTGTGTAGTACGGGCCTTGCGGGGCTGGCTCGGAATCGTCCTGTTGAAGCCCGTCTGGAATTAGGGCTTACGGGCTTAGGGTTTAGGGTTTATATAAGGGTTCAGGGCTTGGGGCTTGGGGTCTAGAGGTTTACACTCGAGGCAAGGAAAAGGACGTGTTATGCCCCTTGCGATAGGATAAGGGATACCCCATGCTCCAACTTTCTGAGATTCGGGGCTCTGGGTTTTAGGTTTCAGGTCCTAGGGTCTTGGATCAAAGAGTTCAGAGCTTTGGGCGCTTAAGGGAACAATGGCCCAGAGGCTTTCGGGGCTTAAGACTTTCAGGTCTCATGGCTGGGCTGTTGGGGTGACTTTCTGTTCTAGAGTTTAGGTTTTGGGGTTTGGAGTTTCTAGTTTACGGTTTAGGCTTCGGGGGTAGAGTTTCGGGCTTGGGGTTCAGGTCTCAGGGTTTAGGCTTTACGGTTTAAGTTTTAGGGTTTCGGGTTTCGGGTTCAGGGTCATAGGGAGCTTACCGTCCTTGTTGAAGCCCAGGGGTGTCTTCGCCTTCTCGCCCACGCGGCCTGCAGGAGCGGTTCAGGGAGCTTGGGCTCGGACCGTGAAGGGCAGGTTTGTTTTAAATTCCCCCCGGCCTTAGGAGGGTGGCAGGTTTGTGGCCCGAAGCCATTTTGAATGGTACGGTTGCTGTTACAAATCCTGCATCACCCATAATAAGGAATATACCGTATTTCCCATAGTTTAGGGTCCTGAAGGTAATGTGGGATTTATGTGATCAACCGTATCTTCGGTTTGGCTAGATACTGCAGCATCGAAACTGCTTCCAGCCGATGTGGCGACTCCTGCAACGATGATGAAGCTGCCGTTGGACGACAGTGATGAGAGCAGTCGTGGCTCTGATGGCCATGGCAATGGCGAGAACAATGGTGGTGATGATGATGATATATAATGACCGTGATAATGACGATGATGCTGGTGGTGGTGTCGGTGATGGCGATAGCGCTGGCGATGGTGATGGTGATGTTGATGGTGACTGTATGATGATTATGACGGTGATGATGATGATGATGATGATGATGATGATGATGACGGTGGTGGCTGTAATGTTGATGGGAATGGTGATGCTAATGTAATAAGGTGATGATGACGATAACGCTAACGACGCTGATGATGCTGGCGATGACGAAGAACATGATGGCAATGGGTTGTGGTGGTGATGCTGGTAGTGACCGCAGTTGTCGTCTTCGTCATCATCGTTGTCGTGCTCATGTTTGATCCCCCTCACCATCACTGTCATCCTCAAAACCATCACTTCACCACAACCAGGACTATCATAAGCCTGTTCACCTTGTCGTCGTCCGCGATCTATGTGACCAGCGTCGTCGATCATCAGCAGCAGCTGCAGTAACAGCACCACCACCACTACGACCACGACCTGCTGCTGCTGCTGCTGCTGCTGCCAGGACGACCTTACTGTCAACGTCATCCTCACCATCATCAACATCGTTCTTCTCATCGTTAGATCCTCATCACCACCACCACCACCACGGACGTCAGCTTTCACTTCATCGCCACCTACGCTCACGCCGTTCCAATGCACCACGTATGCATCTCCCCGAAAGGGATAACACCCGTAGGCATATGAGTTATCAACTTAGACAGCTCATCCCTACCAACCCACCCCGCCCCGCTTAACTGTAGGTGGTAACATGTACATAGTGGCAAAAACATGAATACATGATGAACATGTCATAATAAGTGTACGAATACACACTGATATAACATACTCTGTATATCCATATACGCATAAATAAATGTGTATATATATATACATATAGATAGATAGATAGATAATCTTCATATTATCTTTTGTGTTGGTACATAATGATACTCCTACCCCCTTTCTTGTGTCGAAACCTGGCATGCCTGGCTTCATCAGGGTGTACTCCTGCTCGATGCCGAACCACGGATCCAGCCTTAGTCGGGTCTTGGTGAATCTCACTAGCTAGTAGCAATGATACTAGTGAAAGTCGGAATACTACCAGTGACAATGACAGTGTTAAAAAGCAGCAGCAACAGCAGCAACAGCAGCAGCAGCCAGCAGCAGCACTGCAACAGCAGCAGTAGCAGTAGCAGCAGTAGCACTAGGGCCCCGGCGACTTGTACATGTCCATGGTCTCCGCACAAGTCCTGAAGCCAAGGGAAGCCCTGCTCAGAACGGGCTCGTCTGCACCCTTTTCCGAAAGGCGGTTTCACCCAGGCAATAAGATGCAGTCGCCTCCTCCGACCAGCTACATATCTTACCTGGAAGCTTGCAACTACTTGCGTGCTCTGTAGGCAGTTTCTCGAAAACAAGACTTGGCTTCCAAAGACCCTGCGGGCCATAGTTTCTGACTCGGGCTGAACATTTTCGACAGCATTACCTGTCCTGCGCTTGAGAACAAGAAGCAATACAAAAAGCGATATGGCTTCGGTGCGGCCAAGACATAAAGCCACCAAGCTATGATGGTTCTGTCCAGAACGTTCCTTGTCCACAAAAGCCATGTCACTCTTGCAATGAGAACCTTGTGTTTGGGTTTCGAGTTTGGGGGTTGGGGTTTGGGGTTCAAGCTTTGCAAGCGATTTTTACAACACAAAACCCCTGTCAATCTGCGGACCCTGGATAAACCCACAAGCTAAGAAGCCTCTCCTGTATCTTCGATATGTACCCCTTGCAGTATCAGTAACGGACACCAGAAGCAATTGGATTACTGTAAAGTGTCGCTATCCCCCCCCTTCCCCACCCCCCCGTAGTATTTTCTCATTAAGCTTACCTTTGGTTAGTAGGGAATGGAAGAATGGTAGTAGCAGTAGTTAAAATTGTACCCCATTCCTTCATTCCCTACTGATCCAAGGTAAGTTATAGGAATATTAAGGCCCTATATTGTAGTACCCTTATAGATCCCTTATAAGGCCCCTTTCATTCCCTACTAACCAAAAGTAAGTGAGGGAGTCTTAGAAAGACTTCCAGACACGGACCCCTACTTCCCAGCCCTCGCAGGACCGAGGCCCCGGGCGCGCGGGTGTTGTTCTTTGCGGGCTTGTCGTCCCAGGCCTCTTTAGGGTTTGGGTTTAGGGCTTATAGGATTTAGGGTTTAGGGTTTAGGGTCGCACAACGCAAAGCAAAGAGACCCAAGTAGGGCTTGGGGATTTGAGGATTTCGTTTTTGAAGTTTGGAATCACCCACCTCAAGCAAAGTTCAAGGTCTAGGGACCTGACCGCTTTCATTCTAGGGTGCTCTAGTTTCGTAGTACAGCTTCCTTCTCAGGGTGCGTTAATTAAGGCATGATCCTCCTCATCGCACTTAAGCAGCGAAGAAGTCCCCTCATTCTCATAAAGCTTCCTTTAAGGGCTCCTTTACTGGTGCCTGTAAGGGTTCCTTTAAGAATTTCTTTACGGGCTCCGTTAAGGGCTCCTTCAAGGGCTCCTTTGAAGGATGCCTCCCAGAGCTCAGAAGCTTCATCCCCCCAAGCCCGCGGGGTTCGCAGTTCGAAAGATCCTCACTAAATCTCAAAGCCGAACCCGGAATTCAAGAAGGGAACTTTCGTTCAGCCCATATGGCCCGGTATTGGGTCTTTGGGCTATGTTAGAGGGTCGTTGGGGGGGTCCAGGAAAGGCCTGAAAACCTAAACCCAAACCCTAAATCCAACTTGGAGAACTTAGCAAATGAGTGACAAGTAGAGAAAGAAGTACCCAGAAGGGATCCAAATCGAGGTGATCCTACTTACAACCCCACCGAACATCTGTCTTTAATCCCCCGAACCTTCAACAAGAAGCCGCGCCCTGAAACCTATCATCATCCTGGAAACCAGTAATCCTTACGGCACACTTACAGTAGCCGTCACATATTCCAGCAATGCAGCCCCTATTATAACCCCTGGCAATATACCCCCAAAAGAAGGCCCTCATAGAAAAGAAAGGCCCCGGCCTGCCACGCATCGGCCAGCACCATGACGTGCGGGTATCCGCGGAAAGGGTCGTTGAAAATGGCCCGGGGCTTCCTTGGTAGGTTTAGGGTTTAGGGGTTCCCTTTAACCCGGGACTTCATAGGGTTTCATTGGGTCGATAGGGAGAGTGAGCTCCGTTGAAGGGTCCCCTGAAGACGGGTTGGCCCTTACAAGGGCTCAAAGTCTATAGAGTTTAAGGTCTAGGGTTTAGGGAGGAGTTTAAGTTTAGGGTGGGGTTTTTGGGTCGTTAGAATAAAGTTCTGCCGAGGCGCAGAAGCACCTCAGAGTTGTGCCCGTCCGCCTGCAGAACGGAGCAGGGCTTAGCACGGGGGAGCTTTCAGGGGAGCTCAGGAGCTCTCAAGCTAAGGGGTGGGGGTTAGGTATTGCCCCCATACAGTAAGAGTCTATCATAGGGCTACTATTAAGGTCCTAATATGCCTATATTATGAATATTACTCAACTACTACTGAATCCCAAGGTAGGGGTGTCATCTAGGGGCCTTAATAACTAGAATAGAGTGTTGAGGCCTAGTTTGCTATAAATAGAAGAAGGAACCCCTAAAATGGTAGTGGTAAGTATTTAGGCCCCTGTGTTAGAGCTTTAGGGTGGGGGCTGGGGTTGTCGGATTAAGGTGAAGCGTGAAAGAAGACTGGCAGTAGCAGCAGCTTTCCAAGAAGCTTCCTTGAACCTGCGCAGAACTCAATCTGAAATCTAACCAAACAGCCAAACCAAAAACAAAGAAAAATGCAACCCACGCAAAACGAATTTCATAATTCTTGGAGGCCAAAAGACTCTTCAAGCCCACAACATCCTGCCTGGCCGGTGCTGCTTCCATCGTAGTTCCAGACTTTCAGGTCTGTGACCTCCCCAAAGCTTCAGATCTCAATGATTAAGTATATGCTGGCTTCGTGCGTGTATCTGTATATACATATCTTTATATACATATATATATATATATATATATATATATTATATATACACATATACATACCGTGTGTGTGTGTGTGAAGAGGCTGCAACATGTCATGTTGTAGGCACTTCTCATATCATATAAAGATGCGATTTGTGGGGGTTCATAGGGATGCTCTAGGGGAGTGTGCGAGTTGCCCTAATTATAGTTCCCCCGTGTGGACCCTTGTAACCAGCATTCTAGCAGTTCGGGACCTTACGAGATCAATTTGTCTTATCCTGTCCTGGACGGATTTAGAGGGGAGTGTTTTCGAGTTTTTATAATTGAGAGCTTGTAACAGAGTTGAGGGGCTTGCAGGGGGCAGGGTTGAAGTTGCCGCTGGAAGCTGCTAAGCCTCAGCAAGAGTCACACGATCACAGAACACGGCAACCGCATGCCCGATGCGTCATCTCTCCACAACCTGATTTGAAGTGAAGTCCAAACTCCAATAATCCCCGAAAGCCACATCCGGAGCCCCGGAACCCCAAATCCTAGACCACAATGCACATTCATTTCAGACCGAAAGAACCGAAAATTTGGGCTCTCCCCTCCTTGAGAGGTCGTGCGGTCATGGTCATGGTCTTCGATCGCGTGACGCCATCGGCATCCAGCCACACGTACCTTCTCAAGACCACGGGCTTTAGGGATGTTTGGGGCCTTCAACCCTTACATCCCTGGACCCGAAACCCCAACCTTGGCTTCGCTTTTCAGGGCCCTGGTTGCTGGAACTGGAACTAATCTTTGGTGATCTGCACTGAAATTTCCAACTATTAACATGGGACATATGCTATCTAAGGGTACTTGCAGTGAGAATGCGATGCAGGCTCTGTATTGTGGTTCCTGAGTTTCCGTGGTGGATGTTCCGGAACTTTTTGGAAGCGAGTAGAACCCTTCAATATTCTCTTAGACCCCTGTTGGAAGCCTTCCCAGAACCACTCTAAAACCCTTCAGAACCCATCTAGTACCCTTTTGGAAGCCTCCCTTAAAGGAAACGCTGTAGACCCCTTCAAGGAAACCCTGTAGATCCCTTAAAGGAGCCCTTAACGGAAACCCTATAAATCCCTTAAAGGAGCCCTTGAAAGGAACCCTATAGATCCCTTCAAGGAGCCCTCAACGGAAACCCTATAGATCCCTTAAAGGAGCCCTTGAAAGAAACCCTTAAAGGAAACCCTACAGATCCCTTAAAGGAGCCCTTGAAAGAAACCCTTAAAGGAAACCCTACAGATCCCTTAAAGGAGCCCTTGAAAGAAACCCTTAAAGGAAACCCTACAGATCCCTTAAAGGAGCCCTTGAAAGAAACCCTTAAAAGATACCGTACAGATCCCTTAACGGAATCCTTATAGAAAGGAGCCCTTAAAGGAAACCCTGCAGATCCCTTGAAGGAATGTCGTCCCTAAGGAAACCTTCCAGACTTCACGGCTCTTTGGGGGCCCCCGCTCGGCGAGCACACAGCGGCTGAAGGTTCGGAGCTTCGCCAGCGCGGAGGCGCCACCGTCCTGGCTGTAGGGTTTTCCTTTTAGGGTTTAGGGTTTAGGGTTTAGGGCCCGTCCTGGCTGTAGGGTTTGGAATTTAGGCTTTGGGGTAGTAGTGATAGTAGCAATGATACTTGTAATAATAACAATCATGCCAGTAATAACAACCAACGTAAGATTGTGCGTTTACTTAAGGTTTAGGGTCGTTTAGGATTTAAAGTTTAGGGTTTAAGGCTAAGGTTTAGGGCCGTTCAGAGTATCGGGTTTGGGATTTTGCGTTTAGGGCTTTGGGTTCTGGGCTTAGGGTTTGGGGTTATGGGTTAAGGGTTTGGGGTTTCGGGGTGGCTTTCCGGGTTCTGGGACTCTTCTGGCTCCCTAAGACTCTGGGGGCTGTTGGATCTAGGGTTTCACTGAAACTTTCGGGTCTAGGATATATGGCGGCTCTGAGGCTTGTTAGAGGGATGCTGGGCCTTTTGGCTTGCTGCGTTTTGGGGGAGTCTTGGGCTCCAACAGTCCGAAGTTCAAAGGAAAGGCTCTTAATACCACAACCTTTGGTTGTCAGTGTTCCAAGTTCAGGCCCTGAGGTCTTGGGCTGGGCCTGTGCGGAGAGATCAAGAGGATAAGAGCCTACTGGAAATACACAGACAACCCGGATACCGTCAGCAACGACACCAGGTTTAGTCAAAACATGTAGCAGTATCTTCCATGAACCATATATCACACTCAATGCCGCACGGAAGTGCAGAAAAACTGCAGGAGTTAAACGAAGGTATGAAGATGATGATCATCATCATCATCGACATGCTGATGTGCGGATGATGCAGGAATGACAGGAAACACAAGACTGAGGGATGAACGACATGGTTGGAACGAGTCGATGGAATGCCTGAAAGGATGAATACTTAGACGAATGGATAAAGGGATACATGATTAGTAAATGAGTGAACGAAGGAATGATGCACGAATAAAACGAATATGACGATGTTGAGTGACGTTGACATGGAGGGCTTGCTAATGTAATCTTGGAAACGGTCGCGGTGCCTTGCACACAAGCACACAAAAAGGGTGTCCTTGCCGGTACGCAGGCCCTTCGGTCCCTGACAGATTTCTCGTTTATCACACTGCGTGTCGGGTCGAATATCGAAGCCGGAATAGTTACAGAGTTTCTTCCTCTTCCGAAGAGCTTCAAGGGGAGCTCCCCCCAAGGGGGGAGGCTGGTTCGAGGATCCAGGCTTTCGAGGATCTATGGCCAATATCTCCTGCATTGTGAGTTTTCTCATGTTCACAGAGTTTCGGTACTTTTTTCTATAAAACCGCTTGGGACCCTGTATGAAGCCACTGTAAAGCCCAAAAGACATCGGAATGTGGTTTCGTATTCCAAGGGGGTCCTTATAGTCAAAACGGGGTATGTTATAGTATTTTGGTATAGTTACACAAAGGAACCGTCAGGGGCAGTATTGGTGATGTGTGAGGCCCGGTTTGAGATTCTGTGGATTCGAGTGCTCTGGCATGGGGCTGTAGATTATCACAAAGCCTCCGAAGACTGATGCTTTCACTGAATTTAACCGCAAAGACCCAGACTGCCGAGCTTGAACCCCTCAATCCGGGACCGTCAGCCCCAAACCCCAAGCAAACTCTATGAAATTCTCCAAACAAACTGTATGAAAACAGCCTAAACGCCTTCTCTGCCTCTGAAACCCTTCACCCTGGCACCGACTTCCCTGCAGAGGGGCACCTCGCCATCCTCCTTGGGCTCCTTTGGACAGGGCATCGAGGGGTCGGGAGGCTCTGTGGCCTCTACTAGGGGCGGCTTGTGGGCATTTAACTCAGGCTCTGGGAGCTGGGGACCTGCGCCCGTTTAAACCCAAAAGCATATCGGCTTCAGGATATGGGATTTGAGGTTTCGGGCTCAGAGTTTAATGTGGGACTTGGGGTTTAGGGCTTCCTGTTGGCGTGGATAGGTTGTGCTTACCATGAAAACGGATAGCTAAGTGGAGGGCTCAGGTGTCTCGCAATGTTCATGCCATTACAAGAAGACGACAAGAAGTGAGGAGCCGATCATGAAGGTGTGTAATCTGTGTAACCCTGTTGAAGGCCTAGCTTTGGAATCTTGTGTCATGTGGGTGGTTGTCAATGTTAGGGCCCCTTTTGGGCTCCTGCGGCACCTAATATGTAGAGTACCCAAAAAGGGACCATAATTTTGACAACCGCCCATGTGGACCCCTGATCGGCAGAGCTTCTGCCTGAATAGATGATGACAGGATCCCGAGATTGAGGCCCTTGAAGTTAGGACGTGGACGTTAAGGCTACGTTTTAGGGTTGAGGGTTTAGGGTTTTCAGGGGTTTAGAGGTTCAGGGTTTAGGGTTACACTCACTCACTGAAGTCGAATCCTCCTTTGGCTTTGATGGGGCGGTCTTTGCTTTCGCCTTGCGCAGAAATCCACAACTTCAACCAACGGTGCGATGGATTCAAGCGAGGTCTGGACTCTGCATGTTCTTTTTTTTTTTTACTCGCCCCTTCTCCTCTCGCCACCTTTTGTTAATCGGAATGTCCATCGATGTTCAGGCTTCAGGGTTTGAGAGAGAATAAGATATCGAAACGTTGAGGTATCTGCACCCACCCAGTCAGTGGAGGAGCTGCACTTTGAACCACTTCATGCATTGCGCTTGAGCTTACCCGAGGGTTGGACTGCGTCCCCAAAGAAACCGTGCCCGCATACCCCCCGAACCTTCCAACTGCAGGAAAGCAATCCGAGACATGTGCCCGGGCAGTAATGTAGGGGCCTTAATTTATACTGTAATTATACTGGTAGTTATTTCGGCCCCTATATTGACCCTTTGTGCCAGGCCTTCGCCTTTGCCTTGGCCTTGGCCTTGGGCTCAGGCTTGTCGTCCTGCAGCAAACACCCTGGAAGGTCAGCCTCTCTACACTCTCTTGACAAAATCAGCCTCTCACCCGCTCCCGTGAACAGACTCCAGACAGTTCTTGCCTATCCCGCTTCAAAGAGAGGTGCAGAAGCAGCAAGAAGATGAAGACTACGGGAGCTGCAAGGAGACAAGGGAGCACCGGTCTTTGTGAGCTCGCCAGCGCTCTACTCTCCAGCCTGCTCGAAAGCCTCCTCCAGCTCGTGCAACATCAACGCGAAATGCGGAAAGAGCCGTGCAAACGTGGCCCTGTCCACATCGCCGGCACTGCCGAAGACGGCGGCGAAGGCAAAGTCTGCAAAGTCCCTTCGGTCCTTCTCGGGCTTCGGCCCCCGGCCTTGCGCGCGCCGCAAGCGCTCGCAGAGATGTCCAAAGTCCGCCGGCATCATCCGTGGGCTCCGGCTCCTGTCAGGAACCGGCGAGGCGAAGGCATCGAAAACGGACCCAGCGTCGTGCCATCGGACCGCGGCAGCTGCAGTCCTCGAATACTGCCGATCGCGGAGTTCCGAAGGCTCTGGGCCAACAACCTCCGCCGCCTGCGCCTGCGCTGCCTGCACCTCACTGGATGATATGGACATCACCGCCTGTGCCTGCAGCAGCTCTCCCCTAAGCTCGCCACACTGCTTCTGCAAGTCGTTTACTTCAAAGCGACATGCCAAGATCTCAGCCGCCGATTGGCGCTGCCACTCCTCCACACTTTCCTGGAGATGCATCTCTTCTTGAGTCACCGTCTCGGCCCGCTGCCTTAAAGCTCCTTCGGCTTTCAGGACGCCAGGGAGCCTTAAGGCCGCCTCTTCCCAGTGGGCATGCTTTGCATCCCGGGTTCGATCGCGTGCTCTTAAAATCTCCACGTGCTCCGCCAAGCCCTTCCTAGTTCATTGTTGGGATAAGATATAAAAAAAAAAAAAAACATGTATTCTTATTCCTTATTGGGTTTCTAAGTACCCACAAACATGTAAACGGTTACCCAACTATGGCAAAGCTTCGCCTCCTTCACCAGCTCGCTGCAAAGCTCCGTCTCGAGGAGCTCCTGCTTCTGCGCACTCTTGGCCTCGGCCTCAAAGATCTGCGTTTGGAAGTTGCTCCTTCTTGGGCCTGGGCCTCCTTGGCCCCCTCCCAAAAGGCCGAGGCTCTGTTGCCTCTCCAGGGCACGCCGAAGCCCCCAAGTCTCTCGAATTTGCGAGGTGAAGGCATCCAAAACGTACCGCAGGTCTTCCTCTGACACCTTCCCGAGGCCGAGGCGACTCCGCAGTTGCGTGCACTTCTCGGCCACCGCCGCATCCTCCGCGTCCCTGTCAGAGGCATCTTCCGCTCCCATGCTGGAGGCGGGTAACTTCAGGCTGGCTTGCGCTGCCCAGGACATGAAGCACTATCCCCTGGGCCGAGAGGGAGGCTTCTGTGCCTGTCATCTACGCCAAGAATCCACGAGGCAGCCACCCCTGAGAGGGTTTAAAAGCTACCCTTCAGAATTAGAAATATAGTCTCTCAGGCTCCTATTGCTATGAAAGACTATACCCCAAAAATCCTCTTTGAATTGCTCCGGCCCCCATATTATGAGCCCCTAAACCCTGCATCGCTGGCAGTCATGGACATTGTGTAGCCTAAGGTACTTAGAGGATCATGGGACTTAGTAAGTTTGGATATAAGTACCTTGATTGGGGTTATAAGTAATTTTAACTGTAGTTACCGTACTTATAACCCTAATTACCAAGTCCCATGATCCTCCAAGTAAGGTTTGGAGCTTGGGTCCAAGCCCTTCTAGAACCCTGAAAGGATCAGCTAAAGGAACTCTATTCAACTTACGAGGGCCTGGTATGATATTATTGTATCGGATTATTCTAGAATATGAAAGATATTCTAGTATGGTGTGTCGTTCATATCCCGTTAGACTATACGATACTACATATACTACATTATACTATAGCATACTATACCATGCTACACTAGGTATAGCTTAGCAGAGTATAATACATTGCATTACACTCGGCTATTTTACGCTGTATCGTAATATCCTATTTTATGTTATACCGTTACACTACAATATTCTAGTTTGTATTTGTGTTATTCCATATAACTGAGATTAGTCTGTTTCTTTGAGTTTTCGGCTACATCCTGCTGGGAGTCTCCATGCTTGAGCAGCTGAAGCACCGGGCGTTTGCGGGGCTCAAGGTTTCAGAGTTGAGGGTTTAGGGGTTTAGGGGGTTTAGGGGTTAGGGGTTTAGGGGGTTTAGGGGGTTTAGGGGGGTTTAGGGGGTTTAGGGGAGTCTTGGGGTTCAGGGGTTTAGGGGTTTAGGGCTTCAGGGTTAGGGATTTAGGGGCGTCGGGGCGCGCCGAAATTCTGTCAGCGTACATTGAATCTGAGCTCTGCTTCTTCTTCGTGGACCCTTTCACGCCTGCAACAGATATCTTGAACACCGGAGGCTCCACGAACTTGGCAAATCCCCAACGCTAGCACCTAAAAGCCCGAAACCTAAACCAACCACCCACTTGCTTTGGAAAGCTCCGGGTCCTTCGCCGGTTTGCCAGCCTTTGCCTTGCTCTGTCGAACTTTGACGGGCTTGCAATGGTTGTCGAAGTACTCCTGTCAGAATAGGATTTAGGGTTTCCGGTTTCGTTAGGTCCGGGGTCCTCTACGGCATAGGCTTTAAAGTGTCGCTCTGTTTGGGTGGCGGTTTAAGGATTCAGAACACGAATAATACGGCTAGTACTCATAGTCGGAATAGTAGTGATAATCATAGTAGCGCTGCGAAGAAGAAGCTTACTCATATTCATAAGAGGAGACTCATAACAGAACAGTAATCATAATAATAGATATAGTATTTAGGAGTAATAGAAGTAATAACAATGATGACAGCAATAACTGTACGGATATTGCTAGTACTAGTAACAGTAAAGTAGTAATACTTTTCACATAAGTAATCATAGTAATAATAATAATGACCATACTAACAATAGTAACAATAGTAATCCTAGTAGAACTCATATTAGTAGTAAGAAGAAACGGTAATGTATTCAATGTTAGCAAGAGTAACAACAGTACTCAAAAATGCAAAACAGTCTGAATAGATACTCATAATTATGATAGCAATGATAGTAAGCAGCTGCCGGCTTGAAGAACATCCTTTGCTCCGTCCGGCAGCCTGTCTATGACAGGCTTGGCTCATCGACCTAAAGATACCTACATATATACGGGAACAGGCCATATACATGAACCTGTGTAGGCACACATAAGCGCACATGCACACACCTCTCCATATCTCTGTCTCTTTCTCTCTCTGTCTCTCTCTCTCTCTCCCTCTCTCTCCGCATGGCTGCACGGACCTCCAACTCCTTCTTCTTGTAAGTCCTCGTGGAGACAGTATCGGGGCTAGCCAGTCTGGGACCGCCTGAAACATAAACTCCCACTTGTCGGGTCTCATAAGGAACTAAAGATTAACTTTCTTGGTTATATAGGGATTACAGACGGGCTATACTACCCAAAACAGGTTAAAGGTTGCCTACTCTACTACCAGGAACTGAAGAGCTCTAGAGCGTCTACCCGAAGAATCCAAAAACATGGTGACAGCGCCTGTACGCGCCTATGCGTTTTTAGCGATTTCAGAATGAGGCGTTTTGCATGGATGCGCGCGAAACCACAGCGAGAGCGCAATCTCACAGAAAATTATGGTTCAGGCAGGTGCGCGAAACACTAGAGGCTGGAGTAAACTTTGGGCCTAACTGCGTTTTCGCTCGGGTTTTAAGCTCATTTTTGAAGAGGCTACAGAACAAAACTTTATTTGAGAGAGTTTTTGCTTAAAGTATTGACTTGTCCTAGGTCTTAGGTTAGACTTAGGGTTAAGGATTGGGTTTATGTTTGGTTGTACAAAGAGGCGAAACCGCTGCAAATCCTGGTGTTTTGCGCATGGGCGCAATATGAATGACGTTCTTATCCCCCCCCTCCCCATCCCCCCCCCCACCCCATCCACCCCCCAGCCCATCCCCCACACCCCCCCAATACCCTGAAACCTGCAAAAACGCATAGGCGCGTACAGGCGCCGTCACCAAAAACATAGTGAAGCTGCGCCCTGAATTCCTAAGTTATTGCAGCTGTGACGAGAATAACGATGCTTAATCAATTGGGGGCCTTGCTTGAGCATACGTGTCCTGAGCCTCGAACCCTGAGCCTTAAACGCAAAACCCTGAACCCATCAAACCCTGCGTTTAGGGTTTAAGCCGGAAACCCTGAAACTATGAGGAAGCTGCTTCCTGAGTCGACTGCGAATCCGCCCCCGAAAGCCCCAAACAGATGGCGGGTCCCCTTGTAGTGCGCCATGAGCTCCTCGAGCAGAAAACGCAAAGCTTTAGGGGTTTGGGGTTAGGGTTTCGGGAGTTTAGGGATCATGGTCACTAGAATCACTAGAATCAGACTTACTAGCAGCAACGGTAGAGAGAAATGAATACCAGTCATACAATGGCCGCAACCACTATGGCGACACTCAGAGGAATAAGATTGGTAAAAATTATGGTAACAAATACGACCAACAAGAAAATGACGGTGCTTTGGTCTCACTCAGCAAGCTTCTAATCAATCTTATGTTGAATGCGTGCTGAGGCTGATACCCAACAATCCTAAGCAAACTCGAAGTACTGGGCAAAGCAAGCGCTATGTCGCTTTTGGGCTGAAAGCTTTGAGCATGGTTTCAGGATTGCCTAAGGACCTTCAGAGACATGGACGGCAGGACGGCCTTCAGCGTGTACGCCTCGCCGGTCGCTGGGTCAACTTTCTTCTCAGCCATGCTTGCCTTGTAGACGTGCAAAGGCTGAGGCTTTGGGGCTGCAGAGACCGCTGAGAGATTACGAGTTTGGGTGCACGACTTCCTGACTGTGGCATTGCAACTCTGGACATCATGGCATCAGTAAATACCAGCGTTGCTTGATACTGAGGCAGACGATGAGGATCACCAGTGAAAATGATGATGATGATGAAGGTGATGATGGTGGTGCTGGTGGTGCTGGTGGTGCTGGTGGTGCTAGTGGTGATGGTGGGGCTGCTGGTGCTAATGAGGCTCGTGGCTGTGGCAGTGGCGACTATCCTCGTGAATGATCTGTCCGAGGCCCGGGCAAAAAGGCTTCGAAGGATAGCTTTCCAGGCTCAGAACGGGAGGCAATGCACGCCAGTTGCGGAAGTTAGGCTCGAGCTCCAACAGCTGCGAATGCCCGAGCACTTCCGGGGTGTTTTGGGCATCGACAGCATGATTGCTTGAGTTAGAACTCATGACAGAGACTAGGGCAAAGTACATCGGCAATCCTGATCGAAGAGCGTCAAAAGGTCAGCTAATGCAGGCACATGCAAGTAGCCAACACGATAGAAATCTGAGCTGGGCTGGTCACCCCGACGATTGTTCCCCAGAGCCGCAGTACTTATCAGCATTTCTTCATGACTCTGATGCGGACAGTGAATGAGGCTCATGATCATGCTGATGACGGGGTAATGTTGATGGAGGCGGTGGTGCTGCAATGGTGATTGCATTATCAGGTCATGACCATGATCGTGGTGGAGATCGGAGTTTTTGATGGTCATAATCAAAGTGGCCACTCTTGATACGCTTATGACGATGTTAATATCATCAGGGCTCATCATCACCATAGCCAAGTCCAACGCCCATCATCCGACGGCCATCAGCACAACCATCCTTCTTGACAATCTGCATCATTCGTCATCGCCACCATCTTCTTCGTCGCCTTCAGAACCGTCATGGTTACTATCCTCGTGAAGAATCTGTTCAAGGCCCAGGCAAAAACGCTTCGAAGGATTCCAGGCTCAGAACGGGAGGCAAGTGCACGCCAGTTGCCGAAGTTAGGCTCGAGCTCCAACAGCTGCGCATGCCCGAGCGCTTCCGGGGTGCTTACGATTGCTACTTCACACGCCGCTGGGGTCTCTGATACTGCCATCAGCCTCAAGATGTGCTCATGACGAAGGCTAGTACATGGATGATGGTCTTGATGTTGCGGGTGGCTGTCACTGACACAAGTACAAAAGATGTCTCGATCGCAAACATCATGGCTTTAAGTCTTCTGAAGTTGTGACTGCTGGTATCGTAGATGCTTTTGCTACTACGGCTGACAATACTAGGCTGGTTCAGTGACGAATTACACGATGACTTCAGCTCTTGCAATGCATGCCCCCTTTGTGGCAACTATGACCACTACTCCACCAAGGCCGCCGCCACGACCACCACCAGCACCACCACCGTCACGACGACGACGACAGCCACCAACACAACCACAATAACAACACCTACTCCCTCCTCCTCCTCTCTCTCTCCTCCTCCTCCTCCTCCTACTGCTGCTGCTACTGCTACTCCCTCCTCTCCTCCTGCTCCGCCTCCTCCTCCTCCTCCTCCTCCTCCTACCTCTGCTTCTGCTACCACCACGATGACCAGCAAGCCACTCATGCCCGCATCACCACCGTCACTGCTTGCTAATATACGAACATGATTAAGAAACCCTAGGTCCTTGTTAGGGTTTCTTACATGAATCCTGATATATTGGGGGTCATGGGGCCATGCTTCCTTCATCAGGTTCGTAATCAGGTTGCTACATTAGGGGTTTAGGTTGTTCCTTTAAGGGTTCCTATAAGGAATACTAGAAGGGATCTACAAGGGTACTATAAGGGATACACTGGGGGTTCAGGTTCCTACATTACCGTCTTTAAGGCTCTGCCTTCTCCTTCGCTTCGTGTCTATTGCAACCGGCCAGGCGGGCCTCGATCTCTGTGTCCAGGAGATCATCCTCCTGTCGCCAAAGGTTCTTAGGCTTTAATATAGTATGGCCTATATAGTATATAGTATATACTATATAGTATACACTATATACTGTATACCATATAGTATATAGTGTGTGTATGTATATATATATATATATCTGTGTGTGTCGCTTGCTGCTGTGTTTTGGGCGATCTGCAGGCACTCATGTGCCGTTCCTACGCACTGCCCTGCCTCGAAGCCCATGGTATATCTTCAACCGGTGTCCATGGCGGTCCAGGGTTTGGGCTTGTCTGGGCTAACTGTGTCAGTGGTGCGAACCAGAAGGAACCTTTGGGCACCGGTTTTGGGTTCAGGCTGTGTTTAGGGGCTTGAGATTGTTGGGGGGGGGGGGGGGCGGCTGAGGGACTTACAGAGTCCCTGCTCTCTGGAGCCCAAAAAGTTTCCATCGCAAGCGATACGATCGTGCAAAGGACTGTCACTTCTTCTGCCAGCCTTGCGTGCAATATGAGCGAACGCAGGGAATGTTGTTCAGCAATAAGTCAAAGCTTCGTAGTCGAAGCGATAATGTTCGCGAACGAGACTGGCCACCTCAACTCCTATCTTTGGCTCACGCTTTGTCTGCCGCTTTACAGCAGGAAAGCTCGGCAAGGGGGTGCAGTGGCCGAATCTGGTACACAAAGCGCTTTCCACACGACGCAGGGACTTCTCCACGTCCTCGATGCAGAAGATCATCTGCTCAGGGTCATCTGTCGGCGACCTGTCCAACGCTGGCCGGACGTGATGCAAGTCGCTTGCTTCGAAGAGTGGAGATGCCGAAGCGTTTGGACTCAGGATCAAACGAATCCACGTCTCAAACAAGTGCGGATCGTTTGCAGGCAGCAAATGCTCCTTGTGCTTCAGAAAATATCCATGAAAGAAGCTTGACATCCTTGCAAACGGATCCCTCAAAAACACCACGCGCAATCGGCCAGCCGCCGTTCGACAGCAGGTCGGGCAGAGCGCCATGGGAAGGCCTATACGAGCCTGCTCCTCCAGCTTTGCCACCGACCTGAGCGGGCAATAAACGGGAACTGCTCGAAAGCGGTTGGGGTCTTGGGGCCCTGTACACTTCAAGGCTTTGGGGCGAAATGGAGCATGGAGGAATTCTGATCTTCCTGCATGCTGCTCGATCTCATGCACTTTTCTTTGGCCCATCCCACCTTGAAATGGAGAAGAACTGAAGCTCTGGCGAGCAGCCCAGACGTATCTCTTCCTGCTCGATCCACTCCCTAAGGAAAGATGGGATGTTGCCCTTCGAGCTGAGTGCGACCGACAACGTCCGGCGTGCAGACACGACGGCAGGCATCAGGCCTTCCAGCATCATCGCCCAAATGGCTGCCGATCGGCTAGCTGCCTTCAAGGTGACTTTCAAAGCCAATGGAAGCCCTAGGGGGCAGTAGTACTGGCCAGAAAGAACGCATGCTGGCGCCAATGCAAAGTTAGAATCACCGAAATCGTAGGGGAGTCCAAGAATCACGTCACATCGCGGCAGCGAATACTTGCTCCACTCGTCGCAGCCATCTTGCAGGCAGACTTTGGCAACTGCTCGGTGTGCAGTTTCGATACACTCCATGCGAAGTGACTGAAGCGTCTGGTTCTGAAGCTTCAGCGGGCCGAAAAGCCGGAGGAACTCCAGCTCCGCTGCTTCGGGCCGGAGCACTCCATCCGCCCCCCCAAGAGCACCCAACTCCGGAAGGATCACGGAGCTTCCTTCCGGACACATCTCCTGCGGTACAAAGCTGCGCACCTCGCGATCCTCCTCGTGCCCAAGCGAAGATGCATACCTCTGACGCGAAGCGCCAACACACTGCCCAAAACAACGTTCGACGATGCAGCGGCCTTGCCCCAATGCTTCATCGTCCGTGCCGACGTGGAACACGATCCAAGCCGTTTCCGCCGACACTGCATGCTGGAGAGCTTCCGACGCACAAGCTTCAACGACTCCCCACGCGAACCTCCCTTGTGCAATCTCGACACATTTGCAAGAGTCAGCATCGCCCCGCCCTCCTGATTCACTGCGAGACGTCCCCTGCCATGTAGAACATTCCACCCATGGCCCTGCATCCACCCGCAAAAGCAAGCAGCTGCAGAGAAACGCTTGCATAAAGAAGTTACCCTGTAAAGAGTCAGCATTTCATTTCATGTACACATGTTTACAGTCCACATATGTATTGATGTCCAAAAGCGTTTGACATTGCTGCTTTGCACCTACAACTATTCATGTTCAACTCCTACTCAATAGATGCGTATGGATTGTGTGTAGGTATATAAGCATATACACACATACAACTGTGTTCATACACAGCTAAGTCAATAAATGGAAACAAACAAGATGCATAAACATATAGATACATGTAGATATAGATCATATTGATTTACAGAAGCTGTGTAAAGGGCACGTCGTTATCACCACTCCACCCATACTACTACACCATGCGCGCCAGAATCACTGACTTGTAGCAGACTTTCCCACGTCGTTATCTGAACGAGTCTGCGAATCCCTGTTAAGATGGGCATTTGCGGTTGTTAGGGTGTGGGGCGAATAAAACCCTTACTGCACATGAGCCATGACAAGTGGGAAGTGCGACCTCTTCGGCCATGACGATTGGTTCAGGGACCCAGGGCTTCAATTTCGCTTTTGACAGCACGGTGACTGCGGCACAAGATCTGCATGGCAACCTGATCTTAGAAATTTGTCTATAGCTTGCACACTCCTGACTTACACACGACATCAAAATCGCTGCAGAGAAATGTTTCGCAGCCGCAGGTGGGGCGAGTTGCATCCACCAAGGAAGCCTTTTCAGCAATAAGTCAAAGCTTCGTAGTCGAAGCGATAATGTTCGCGAACGAGACTGGCCACCTCAACTCCTATCTTTGGCTCACGCTTCGTATGCCGCTTCACAGCAGGAAAGCTCGGCAAGGGGGTGCAGTGGCCGAATCTGGTACACAAAGCGCTTTCCACACGACGCAGGGACTTCTCCACATCCTCGATGCAGAAGATCACCTGCTCAGGGTCATCTGTCGGCGACCTGTCCAACGATGGCCGGACATGATCCAAATCAGTTGCTTCGAAGAGTGGAGATGCCGAAGCGTTTGGACTCAGGATCAAACGAACCCAGGTCTCAAACAAGTGCGGATCGTTTTGAGGCAGAAGATGGTGCTTCACTCGAGTTAAGTAACCTTCAAAGAAGCTTGACATCCTCGCCAATGGATCCCTCAAAAACACCACGCGCAATCGGCCAGCCGCCGTTCGACAGCAGGTCGGGCAGAGCGCCATGGGGAGGCCAATCCGGCTAGTGTCCAGCATGTGCATACTCCTCCAGCGAAAGAACGCAGAGATTGGGGTAGGTATGCATGTGTACGAGCATATACATATACATACATACATATATGTATATATACATATGTACGTTATATGGATATGCATATATATATATATATATACATATACATATACATATACATATACATATACATATACATATACATATACATATACATATACATATACATATACATATACATATACATATACATATACATATACATATACATATACATATAAGCAAGAGTTTGTGCGTGTGAGCATATACGAGTCCGTATAGCAGTCTAAATGTTGTATTCGAATATCAATGCATGTATATAGGTATATATATATAGAGAGAGAGAGAGAAACGAATATGTATATAAATATGTATATATACAGGGTATCGGATCGAGCTCCTGTAGTGAGCATTGCTGATTGCCCCAAGTGCTCCGGCACGTGCGAGCCATTGGGCGACACCCATCGTCGCCGCCTTGGCACAGGCAGCTCCGGCTTCGAAGAGCCAGGGCACGACGCCGCATAGCAGCGGCACGCCTGAAAGGGCAGCGGCCTTCTTCTGCTGACCTTCTCCGACTGCATCTACACCATAGCCAGCCGGCCTACCGCGAACTCCCTGTGTGTGCTCCTCAGATGGGCAAGAAGCAGCAATGGAGTGCAGACGAGTGGGAGGCATGGCGGTCTTCGTCGCAACACTATGGTGGTTGGCAGCGGCCCAAGGGCAAAGCCAAGGAGGGCAAGGGTGGTCATGCACCCAAAGGGCGCGAGACGAACAAGGAAAAGAAGTCGGCCTTCCCCTCCTTCGAGGCTATGGACCCGAGTGGACCGACACAACGTGGTTCTCAGTAAGAATACTGTGAGTTTGCTGAGCAATGCAGAACAGAGTAAGAAGGCGCTCACCTCTTTTTTACTCGCGAAGGATGCTTGAAGTCGGTGCGAGGCAATGCGATGCCCAGTAACGGGAGGAGCGGGGCAATGCGTTGCCGAGCTCTTTTCCCCCAGGGTTGTGGAGGGTGGGTGAAAAAGCTAAAAATCGGAAGCGATCCGGGTCGACAGCTTGAGCTAGCAGTGCGGCGCAAGGCGAAGCAATGCAAGCTCAAGTACTTACCGAAAACACTGTCGACCAAAACAACAAACTCACGACAAGCGTTCTCAGTAAGAATACTGTGAGTTTGCTGAGCAATGCAGAACAGAGTAAGAAGGCGCTCACCTCTTTTTTACTCGCGAAGGATGCTTGAAGTCGGTGCGAGGCAATGCGATGCCCAGTAACGGGAGGAGCGGGGCAATGCGTTGCCGAGCTCTTTTCCCCCTCTTTAGTTCGACTTCAGCATCCTTTGCCTCGCGGGCTCAGAAACCCCCCTCGCATGAGGATGTAGAAGGAGACCTGTCGAGGCGGACAAGGAGAAGCAGTAAAAAAGTGCCAGAGCACAGGGCGTGCGAGTGGCGGAGCTCTGATGCAGAGTTTTTTTCCTCGGTTCACGAGCGGTGAGCAAATCAACGCAGTAGGCTGCGCTGTGCCTCGCAGAGGCGAGGGGGGAAGGTGTTCTCCTCCCCTCGAAGTGAAACTGTGTGCGAAGCAGATGCGAGCTGTGCTAGGCTGATGCGAACGCGTTCGGCACTGCGGTGCTTAATGAATGCCAGGCGTCCGCGGCTGAGGGCGTCAGCCCACGAGTTCTTTTCGCCGGCCAAGTGCTCGACTTGGAACTGTACACGGTGCAGGTGCGCCCAGGTGGCGGCAAGGCGCAAGAAGGTGCTGAGCGGTTCTGTTGTCGTAAAAAGGCGGTTGACGCCACTCTCAGCAGAGGTGTTGTCGCTGGCGCTGGGAAGGACAAAGCGCGTGTGCTTGTGCCGAAGGAGAGCCCATGAGCAATGGGCGAGTGCGAGCTGTGCCAATGCCTCAAAGCATGCTATGTAGCTTTGCATGGAGCCGTGCAGTTGAGGCCACTCGGCTCGGACTTCGTCGGCAGTAAAGATCTCGCTGTACCAAACAAAGTGCGAGGATGTGCTGAGCCAGCCGCCGATGCCCATTCGGTCAGTGTCGGCAAAGGCATCCGCGGCGCTCATGCAGGGCGCGACGGGAGGAGTGCGGAGGCTGCGTGGTTGCTCGTGTTTAAAGCAAAGCTCGAGCCAGGCGAGGCAGAATTTACTGTCTTGTTTGAGGTGGATCTCTGTGCGATTAGGGTCAGCAAGGCGGACCCACTGGTGCTTGTGGGAGGGCGGAACGCGGGGCACGTCAGACAAAGAGTGAATCTTAAGAGAGCCAACCTCAAGAAGCTGTGCATTGCGGGGCAGCCAGGAGCCAAGAGGCGTGGAAGAGAGCTTGGCGGTGTTATCAAGGCACTCGTAGAAGGGCGCCCAAGCTTGCGGGGCGATGCTGTGGAGGGTTCCGGCACTGCTATGCAAGTCTTTATAAAGGCATGACATGAAGGAGCGCATGTGCGGGCTAAGAGTGGTAGCCCAGTTGAGCAGTCCAAGGCACGCTTCCAGGTCATTCTTTAGGATTTTGGAGGCAGTGCGAAGCTTGCGGAGCTGTTGGCGGAGTTTTTCCAGTTTGCTCTGGACTAAGGCGACGGTTTCCGTGCGGAAACAAAAGGTCCAGCCGCACCAAGTGATTTGATCGCCGAGCTGTGCTTTTTTCCAGCTGATGGGTGCGTGGAGCGCGGCGAGCAGTGCAACGATAAGGGCGACCGGCTGGTCAAGCTTGTCACGCAGGAGCGTGGCGAGGATGTCGTCAACATAGAGCCAGGCTTTGTGCGGGTATTTGCAGAGCAGTGAATGCAGGATGCGTAGGATAAGGGATCCTGTCCGTTGCCACCAGTATGCGGAAAAGCGGGCGCCGAAATGGCACACGGTGTAGTGATAAAGCTTGTCAGCGATGCGAAAAAGCAGAGTGCCCTGCTCTGCGGGGCGAACTTTTTGTGCCTTATGTGCCGCTTTAAAGTCTAAGGAGAGGCCTTGCAGGCGAGCAAAAGGATCGGAGGCGAAAAAAGTGCGTTGCACATCGAGGGCGCTTGGCATGGATACGCGCTCCGGTAAGTGCACGGAAGGGTTTAACCCACAAACCGAACTATCTAGTACTAGGCGGGGATCTTTGCCGTCTGCGTGAACTATATTAAGTTTGCCGATAGCGGTGCCTAGCGGCCAGTGCTTTGCGGCATCTTCTGCGGAGCCGTGGAAAGGCGCGACGTGTCCCGCCGAAATTTCCTGGTCCACCAGCTGCTGAAGCAAGGTGGGATCGCGTTCAGCGGCAGTCCAATTTCCCGCGCAGTGCTCAAGGCGGTGCGGGTCAAGATCAGACGACGTATCAATGTTTTGCGGTGCGGAAGGCCAGAGGCCGCTGGGCGGCAGCGGGGAGAAAGCGCCTGTGGGTACGCCTTCTTTGAGAATTGGCACGAGGCCGGTGTCAGGATCGTCAACGGCGCGCGCGAGCATTTCAAGGATCTCGAGGCGAAAAGGCTGGCCTGGTTCAATGCGTAGAGCTTCGGATGCGGGCATGTGCCGGGCAAGGTGGAGTCTGATGATTTCTGCAAGCACGGAACCATGTTGTTCCGAAAGGGGCGGCTCTGGCAGACCCGCGTGCAGGTGAGCAAGGATGGGCTTAAGAAGTTGTTCTTGACGCAGATATTCCAGCATGGATTGCGCAACCGAAGCTAGAGGGGTGCTGGGCTTATTGGTGCAATGCATGTGGTCAGCGGAGCTGACATTGCCCGCACCGTCGCAAACAGGAGAGCGTTTGCAGTGGAAAGTGGATGCTCCTAGGCTGTGCAGAGCGTGCAGGGGCAATGGAGCCGAAGGCGACTGTGACGTCACATCTGTGGTGCAGAGGGAAGCCAAGGAATGCAAGTCTGGGATGCCGTCCGATTGCAGTTTGCTGTGCAGGGAACAGCTAACCCCTAGGAGCATGCGATGAGGCGAGCGCGTCCATGTGCACGTGGCTGCGAGTTCTTGGGCAAGTTGAAGGTACATGTCGAAAATGTCTTCTGTAGAGGGCTGCGGAAATGCAAAGATGACATGTGCACCTTGAAGGTGGGCAGCGCGATGCAGGGCGCAGAGACTGCGATGGAAAGATGCAGAATAGGAACTGGTGTCGCCAAGAATGCATAGCACTGCGAGGATGCCAGACCAAGCCGCTCCCTGCATGGAGGCTAAGATGTCCGGATGCCAATTACCTTCCGTGGTTTGCAAAGCAGGTGGAGAAGCGAATCGGTGCAGGGACTGATTGATTGGCTTGGCATCCTGGAAAAGGTCCGGCGGCCAATAGAGGAGATAGCGGGCCGGGGGGGTGCAAGTAGCGGCAGCTGAAGTTGGAGCGGGGCCACCGGATTCACTGTCAGCAGATTCTGAAGCCTCACTGGCCGATGAGTTGCTGTGATGTAGGGAAGGCTGGGCAGGTTGGTGAGCGAGTGCAGGCGAGGCCGGGCAGGGTGGCTTAGCAACCTGAGCCTTAGGGGGGCTGCGGGACCTAGAACCACTAGGTGAGGTGCAGGGGGAGGCTGAGCAGGACGCGCAGGAGCGCGAGAGAGGCGAGAGGCTGCGCTTGTTCCGGGCTGCGGGCAAGAGATTGCTCCCGGATGCGATCTCCTGCGGTTCTCAAGACGGACTGGGCTTTTCTACTTTGTGGTTGCAGGCTGCGTGATTTTTTCCGCAAGGCTGGCCGGAGGGCAATTTAAATGCGCACTTGTGTTCAAACTTGCAGTTCTTGTTTGTGCAATTGCCCTTGTTGAAGCGGATGCAGAGAGTCTTATCGCCAAGTTTGGTGGCGAGCGGTGCGGTTTGCTGGTTGCCTGAGTTGGGAGTGCGGGGCTGTTTGCCGGGCTGACGCACTCCCTTGCCGTTTGCTTTGCCGCCTTTACCGCGGATGCGGTCTTCCCTGGTGGGGCGGAGGGGCGGTGCGGGTGGCATGGGCTTGGCACGAAGTTGCAGAAGGGAACTGATGTCCGAGCGGACACTAGTGATTTCATGCAGGGCATCATCCAGGGACCACCCGGAGCTGTG